TGGTTCTGCTTGTTCTGGTTGTTATTGCTTTTGGTCATAAAAATTCTCACAACATGACATGTCGAATTGCTGTTTCTTGGGTTTTTGCCTTTTTGTTTTAATTTAATTTTTGCGCTGCTGTAAACGTGTTAAGATTCATGTGCAACGCAAGTTACACAAATTTTAATTAACTCAAGCTAGGTTTTCTTTATAGAATATTGGTAATTTCTTCCCTTAATTAAAAATATATCAATAATCACACCCATACTCCTAAGAACAATACAGCCTTAAGTCTCTTTTACACCTATAGTATTTTATTTAACTTTAACACTGTATTTTTAAAATTTATATGTCTACATTTTTTCTTTTATGAGACTATTTAAAAATTTTGTAATACTACAATAAAATCTACCAGCAAACTTTTAAGATCATTCGAAAATGTCTAATACATTTAAAATAAATTCAATTTATGACGATGGAAATACCTTATTCTCTTCTATTAAAAATTGTTATTTTTTGTTAAGTTTTGCTGACTCACTGGCAGAACTTTTCTTATACGTAAATGGAAACACCTGTGAACCTTCCCATCCAATTTTAAATAGAAATTTCTGTACAGGTTCTGTGCAGCTCTAGAAAATGCTAGTGTAAGTAACTTTGAGGTATTTTGGGGAAAACAGCTGTTGTTCCAAACCCACATATAGTTTGTTGATAAGTAGTATATATATTATATTTGCACCCAAATGGTCATTATTACTAGTTGAATATGCGTTGTGTTATATGGGAATCTTTCCAGCATAATGATAGTAATAAGAAGTATGAAATTCCTGTCCATCAATTTTATGTTTATAAATTTGACAATGAAAAATGTTAAACTTGTGTTTTGACTATTAATTCCATTAAAAAATATATGTAAATACAAAAATACTGTTTTAACTAAACAAGTTAAAGACTAGAGCTGTACTCACTTTTAAGTTGTTGGCTAAATAGAATAATTTGAATAATTGTAGATTGTTTTAGTGTATCTTTGTTATTATTTTAGTTATTCATCATTTACTGCGATTTTTAAATACCTATTTAAACAGAAAAAGTGACTTGCCATTGCATGCCATCGGAGCATTAATTTTGTGCATTGTTCAAGCTGACTCTTCTCTAGATTTAACTGAGTGTGTATATACGTTTGTATGTGTGTGTCTGTACTCGACGTATGCCGCAAAACATCCTTGAACAATGTCAAAGTCATTACCAACTTAAACACAAAGTAAATATGTAAATGTGCAGCAAACTTGGCACAAAATGCTGTTGTTGTTGATGATGATGATGATGATGAAGTTGATGACGATGGAATCGCGCGCCCTTTCCTGTAAAGCGCAACTCGAAAAAGCGTTGAGTTCGCTTATTGAATGATGGAAAGGAAAGGTGTGGAAAATCATAAAAGGCAACCGCAGCCAAAGGCGATCCTTTCTGCTTGCAAAAATAAGTAAAAGTGCGCAAAAGAAAATAAACGTGTGGGTAGTAAAAAGTGAGCGACGACTTCCGTTTTGTCAACAGCGGGCGTCCAAAGAGTTTGAAAGTCTTTTGCCACGCTGGTAATTAGTTCGCAGTTGACACCATCCAAGAGTCGGCGTAACATACCGACAGTAAAAAAGTGACCTCATTTTTATCAGACACATACCTTCATACCATGCTTTAATACCACCATACGTACACACTCCGAACACATTGTGCGACATGACCTAAGGGCGAGCACATACCAGCAAGCATATGGAAATGTTTATGGCCACGACAACGACGATGGTGACGGTGACGATGTCGATGTCGACGCACCCTTTAAGGGCAGGCGCAAAATTAGAATAACATGTCGCTCATTGTATCACGTAACGTGACTAAATACCGACTTCAGCAAGCACATATACTCACACACACACCTACACGAAGTCACGCACAACACACATATGCCCACAGGGCACCATACAATTGTCACAATTCCCAGGAAGAATGAATTTCATGAACACAATACATAATAATATATCAAAGAAAATGGACATTTATATTTAAAAAATGTCAAAACTTAGTTCTGGTTCGGAATGTAACTTCTATCTCTAATTAACTAGAGGAGACCAAATACTGTTAATCTTAAATAGCTGGTGAAATATATGTATAAGCCGACTTACTTCCCCGAATTACATTAATTATCCAAAGAGAGGATATAGAACCTATAACAGGGGTAGACTAACCAAATCTTTGGGAAAACCCATAGAATTTTTTATATAAAAAATATATTAAATCATAAGTTAGACCATTCATGCAAGGACGAAACTGAGAATCGATTCTGTGTATTATTTCAATAGTTAAGTACATTTTTTTTTTTTGACTTAATGTTATGTACCATACTATATGATCTACTACACTTTGCTTTTATAAATCGAGTTAAATGATCACTGTTTTTTCTAAACCATCTGCATTATAGGCCTAGTAGATTTAAATATATAAATTGTGCTAATATTCTTTATTTTAGACTTACTATAACATGGAAACGTCAATTACTCCTAAAAAGCGTTACAAACTGTTCAATCAAACCTATGCTACCCATTCACAAAAAGTAATAGGGACGGGAAATATTGCTAAAGTAAATGAAAATAAGCATTAGCCTGACTAAGGAAAATTTGCTATGCTTTGGTTGCGTTCCATTACTTGAGTGTCGGTTGTTTTAGTTGCCGGTTACACCCAGTTTCGACAACAACTAAAACTAGTACCTACATACTACAATGAGAACTAAGTTTTAATCATGCCGGGCACATTAATTAGAGCGTAGTTGGGGAGCGTCCTGAACTCGTTTATTATTCCATAATTTTTTAATTAATTTCTATGGCTTGACTTTAGTTCCTTAAATCTTTTGTTGACCGCATTCAAAAGCGTCAACAATTTATGGCCCTATTTATGGAATGTCATTCAGTTCAGCTGTCTGACCCAATTTCGACACGAACCCCCTAACTGCAAGTCATTTGCATATGGACGGTGATAAAGCACATGGCCGAGCCGCAAGCGGAGGTTGGAAGGTTGCTATCATTTTTAGTCGTGTTCATTTTCCTTTGGCAGTGATAAATTCTGTGCAGCAAGCAAACTTTCGCCTGCTGCTGATAACGCACCCCCTGCCCCTCTGTCAACTGTTTCGAGGGGGTGGTTTTGTAAAGACAAAACTGGATTTGCTTTCCAGATACGCACAAGGGGAAAATCATTTAATTTGTTTGCATTATTTGCGCATTTTGTGTGGATTTCCACACAGTCACAATTTTTAGACCGTTGTTTATTTTAGGGAGCAAAACAGTTCGAACTTAGCCTACCAAGGAGACAGAAAGTGAATTGAAATGCTTTAAATAAAACAACCTAAGGCCTACGACATCAATTGGGATAAGGGTGAGTGCAGAAGGCAAGCGGTACCGACCGGATGGCTTATAGATTTGTCTTGCATTAACTTTTTTTTCGCCTGTTCGGCCGCTCAAGCGCAGCATGTGAGTCGGGCTACAAATCCTAATTGATTTGGCCCTTGTCAAGGTACATTTTTTACCTGCTTGTTGCCTGATAGTCGAAACGAGCCAGGCCGTGCATTTGAGCACTGACTGTGGCTGTTTTTGAGAGCAGTTAGAAGGGAATGTGTGGCGTGCTTATCGCACTCCATGTTATTTGCGTTCGTCGTTGAAACCAGATCTCAAGCTGTAGCTGATCGAATTCGAGAAAATAAACATGGACATTGCGAGCATTTGTTTTTGTAAAATAAATGCTTGGAAAGGTGTCGATTGGTTTGTAAATAAATACGAATACATGCATAAAAAACGAATCACATTTTCGATGAAGCAAAATAATATGCTTTAATTAACTGTTGCTTTCTAAATAATATTTCACAATATTTCATTGACCGACTATATCAGTACATTTGGACAGTTTTTAGTCTGAGCTTAAATCAATTAAGCTGTTGTTACAGAATTTAATCCCAATTGCCTCTTGAAGCCTAATTCACAGAACTCGTGAAAATATGGATATGCGCAATCTACCAATTAACTTTGTGATAATTATTATTGCAACGTCAATATCTTATCAAGCATGTGATAGTTGAACAACTGATGAGGCATTGCAAAAAAAACTTTGATTGTTTAATCTTTTTCACGCGCAGTAAACGGGCTTGGGACGTACCAACGGTTTTTCATTTTAAGAATCAATTAAATATGTACACAAAAAATATTTAGTAACAACTCCATTCTCATTGATAATTATTTAAACATACAAAAATAAGTTCCTAAAAGGCACTACGAACTTAATGTTTGAAGTAATGTTATATGCACTAGATTCAACGTATCTATAAAAAATACAACTAGCCCGTGCGAAACAACTGGACTTCCCCATTCATTGAAATCATATGAACAAAAAGCCCGCAATTGCTTACGTATTAAGAAAAACTAATTAAAAGGTGTTGACATTTTTCAGCTATAAGGAATAGTACAGTAAATGGAAAATTTAGCTTGAAAAAAACTCATTTTAAATTATACAATACCAGAAGATATTTCTAGATCCATTTAATATCAATTCAATAAACAAGTACCTTTAGTATTGATTAAATAACTGTTGCTGATTTTGAGCAAATCTATGTATGTATGTACATACATATGTCATCAAGGAGTGTGTGGTTATCTGTGTTTATGTATAAAGCCTGTCATAAACAAACCTCAATTCGTTAAATTTTAGCGCTTATCATTATTGACACACTCAAACTTATACAAACTCGTATATAGTTGTACATCTACTTTTTTATTTACGTAGATGTTGATAAACTGCAAACATGAAATTTCGCACGTCGGCCGTTGGCCGCTAGTCATCTAATCTGCAGCAGACGGCTTGTCACCTTTATTTGTGCACATCGGCTGTACTATAGACGTAAACGAAAGTCCACTGATAATGTGGGAGGACGGACATTTGACATTTGTGTGCCATTAATTGGCAAAATAAACTTCCGCTGCTTGAACACTTACCTTGACTTGCATGCAAAACATCCGCCAGCTGCGTCAGTAGCAGCAACGACAATAAAAAGACGCGCGTCCTCCTGGTCGGTGGTTTGGCCTGCGCACTAATCGAATTACTTCTGCTTATTGCCATTATTTTTGTGTTGTCGCGTTGTTGTTGGTAAGTATAGAGGACGGCAAAATATGAAACCAGCAGCAGTTTGAAACTCAGGAATTCACTACGCTACGTTTTTTCCCAGTATTTCGTTTTCCACTTTACTTTATGCACCGCATTGTGACGCTTATGCCTGGCAAGGCATGGCGAGCCACCGCTTCTAATTTCGTTTTCGTTTTACTATACACTTGAGTTTTACTTTCGCACAAACATTCTATACATTTATTACTCACTCCACTTTTGTTGTGTATTCGCCGAATTCGTCGTTAACGATGTTGTTTTTTGGCGTTGTTTATGCACGCTCTAATACATTTTCCTTATTTTGCGCAATGCGTTTTGATTGTTTTGCCGGCATTGCACTGTCTGCAACAACAACAACAATTAAAAAACTTGTTAAGGCGCTTTTGTTGCTTTTAATCACTTCTAGCCATGGCGCAAACAGAATAACAGCAACAACCACAAGCGCCACTACAACAAAAACTACATAAACAAATGACAGTAGCAGTAGTGTTGTCTCACTCTTACAAGCGTGCGACGATAACTCTGTTTTTCATTTTAAGATTTTCACTAAAACTTCACGTAAAACTAATAAAATGAATTTGCTGTAGGTATTTTATCACCTTTATTTTATGTTAATGTGAATTTTAAAGGCATTTTTATTTATTATAATCGTTAAATAACACTTATTAGCGGCAACCACTCGACAAACAAGCGCGCAACGTATTAACAACGCCAAACTCAAAATCCGAATGAAGAACGCAAGAAAAACAGTGTTGCCCTATAGTTAAAATACCAAAGCGCGTGAAAATGTGCTAAATTGCGCGACTCATGTACCATCCCTGGTCGGCGCGTGCTTGGTTAAATTCGAAAGCAAATATATCTATTCATATAATATTATTTGTTAAAAAAAAGTTATTGAATGGCAAAATTTTTTATGATTTATTTATCCTTTTTTATTCGGTCATTTATACAAGTTTTTATCGCTTTAATGAAAACATTGGAAAAGTTTTTCCATCAAATTTGTTTGGAATTTTCCGCTGGAAATTGTGGTTTTAAGTTGAAGTTGATGGTTGAAAGTTTTAAATCGAATTTCAATTTCCGAAGAATACTGAACAGGTTGCAGGTAAATCCTGCATGCAGTAGTTTTGAGAACAAAAAAATACGCATGCAATTAATATAGCTTACGGAATAAACTGTCAATAGCAGATGCTCGACTTTACACTAACAAAAATGCTGCAGTAAATTTGCAAACTTTCGAACTTTTAGTGAAAATATGCAATACTGCCGGCAAGGCCGCCGTCACATTGATTGAAGATCTTAATTTGCGAAAAGGAAACAAATCCAATTGCGTGCCAGCGGCACAACATGGCGGTGAAATGATAAATTTCACATTAAATGCAGGCATTTAAATGAAAGCTGTACAAAGGAATATGAAGAACCACAAAAGCGAATCGCAAGCAATGGAGGCTGTATAAAAAATTAAATTACGCTGCACATTGAGACTGGGCCGGACTTCATTAGCGTGCACAAAAGTAGGTCAAGTTGTGTGGATTTATCAAATTACCAGGCAAAAAAGATTTACGCGGTGGTAAATGCGTAAAAGAGGTTCCCCAAACGACCAAAGCCGGTAATTGGAGCTTTTTTCCTGTAAGACAGTTTGCAGTCGAGTGATGCTTGCTGCCTCCTCATTACAAACTACTAATTTTTATTTTAATTAACGGCAGTTGTCTGTCTCTCCTGCCAAGTCACTTCCTAACCGCCCCCAAATAAAACCAAAAAGGCGGATGGAGGGAGCTCTTGGGAATGTGTGAAGCATGTTTGTGGGGAGAGAGGTGCCCTGTTTTGGCCACAGCTTTTAAATGATGGTGATGACATGAAAAGGCGCTTAGCCGAATTTAAATTTTGATTTAGGCGGAAATATTTTATAAACTCTCGTAAAATGGGTTTCAAAGTACAGAGTTTGGTTATGTTAGATGCTGTAAAAGTTGTTGTTGCCACATTAAAGGGCCCTGACAAGACGCAACTTATGTGGCAAGGCAACAGACGCCGAATGTGTAAAAGAGTAAAAACCTATTGGCTCATAAAGGAGCGCATGCGTTTTTAACATTTTAATTGAAAGCGACGGCAACGCATACGCGCTCAAGCCACAAAATGTTGGCTTGCAACTCAAAGAGGCAACAGCGGCAACGACAGCTAAAATTAAGTTAGCGCCTAACACGTCGAATTCAAGTGGTTGCCCCGTCCCCCTGCCTATCCAAATATGCCGGCATGCAAGCCTCGGCTTAAATAACAACAAATATTTATACACAGTGGTGCATAAATCAAAATCAACTTGTAAATTTAATATGTCGCCGTGCTTGTGGCGCTTTGCCAGCCTGCTTGCAACATGATTTATGGTGATGCATTTTGATTGTGAGAAGAAAATTTAAAACCATACTTATTTCCATATGCATTATGTGCTTTCCGAATGGAATTGAAAGCTGTCAGCCAAAAACAAAAAAGCCAGCGAATTGTTGTGGTTTAATTAATTAATGACGTGGTGGATGAAGTTTTTGGGTTTATAGAGTACTCTTTCCGAGGGTATATTGATTTAGTTATTGGTAATTTCCTCCTCCAATGTTCAGAAATTTTTGTTATTTTGTTAAGCTTTCTCAGCTTTTAAGTACAAATTTTAACTTATATTGACAGAATATAATTGAAATTGATATAATAAAAATATAAATAGGGAGTTCAAAGTATCTTCTTCTGCGCTTATATCCTTCACTGTGTCTTACAATACTTGTAAATACTATATAATCAAACTTCATTTTCTCATGATATTATTTCATTTTTTAATGGAAAGCATTTTGAGCTCTTTTTGCATTTGGTCATCCAAAACATTCTAAAAATGCAATATTATTTCTATATATTTAAAAATCAAATGACATAAAAAATTTTTTAAAATGATTTAGTTTCTATAACAAAATATTATATGTGCCCTTCAAGAAGTATCCCCGAATTTGATCGCGATAGCTCCAAAACTGCGGGAGGATTAGTTTCTGAAGCTACTGTATGTATGTAGTATATATATATCAATATAATCCTTCACTTTTCAGTGAAGGGTATTCAAAAAAACATGAAATCAATATTAATCACACTTATATTATAATTCGATTTAAATTTATATTTTAAAAACAAACAAACTCAAACAAATTTGATAATCCAGTGGCTTTACAATAATTGTTAGTTCTTTTCATTTTGCAATGGGTTAGAAGATTCCAACTAAGTTATTTTGGTTCATACTCGTAATTTATTTCAAAACAAAAAGTTTACTAGTTTTGTTTGGCTTTTTTGCCATATTTGAAACAGTGTTAATTATTTGTATTAAAAAATTGCAAATTGAATTGAAACAAATTATAAAAACCGAAAACGCAAGACACTTACATATTTAAAAATATGAAAAATGTTATGAATGCTTTTTTCTTCGACCATAATTGAAGCGTAGAGTATTTATTTTCCGTAGTGCTTACACAATTAATCACAATTTGCTATTGCTTTTATACAATTTTCCACTTTCCATCAGCATACATCCAACCAGTGGTCAAGCAAAAATATTTGCCAATTTCTGCTGTTGACATTTCCGCTCAGAGGCAATTTAAAACTGAAATTGTTGTTGGATTATTGAACGTTGATTGTTCAATGGGCATGTGTGACATTTATATTTTAAACTTTAAGCACGGTAATTGGGAAACAAATCAGGTTGTGGTGTATGTAAATAATTCATTGAATTTCGTTAGCATAGCTCGCTTTAATTGTGCATCGCATTCATTGCCTATTCCATAGACGTAATGGCGTTAGAAATATAAAACCCAAATTTAATTTTCACACATTAAAATTAGTTGGAAACGCACACACACACGAGCTGACACTGAAAAATTACAGCTTCAGGCCTTGCCGACAGTTTGACAGCACATCTCAAACTTTATGCATTGGTTGGCCCCAAACTTGCGGGCGGTTGAACAAATTTTTTTTTCTATTTGAAAACGAATTTCTGTAACATGTTTTCGTGGCAGGCTCGAAGACGTCGCAACGCTGCAACCGCAGCCCCTGTTCATGCCCCTGAATTTTTGAAATGAAAGCAAAATTAGGTTGCACTTGGTGGAGGTAAAAGCGACTCCTTCCATCGCCGGCCATCACCAACTGGGCCAAAAGTGTTTTGGTGTAAATGCATGTAGATTGGTCTGGATTTTTGAGTGCATTGAATAAAATAAATGAGTTTGTCAGGCGGCAGTGACATGATTTGATAATTGGTTTTAAATGAAATTGGAAAGCGGTACGACAGCAGGAAGTATATGATGTATGAGCTTGTTTAACTTGCTTAAACGAAAAGAAACACTTAATGCGTTGATAATTGTCAGCATTAGTTAAATTGCCGCTACTTAAATGTGTTTCTTACAATGTAACCAACTTTGGCCATTGACTTTCATGTTAATCGCAATCTGTGGTAATGCCTTATGTTCATTATTGTTTTCCAAAAATTTCTCAGATTGCTTGCTTGCTTGCTTGAGTCACTTTGGGTGGGGTTGTGTTTGTGGGCTCGCCGAGTGTGGCAACAACTTGGTTTGTTGTGTAGAAGCCAAAACAAAGGCCATTAATGCTCATGACGCATAAGCAAAAATGTGCGAAAAGCCAACAGCGGAAATAACAAAAGCCATGTCGAAAAAGGCTCAACATAATTCTGACATTTTATAAGTTTTATGAATGCATTAATGTTTCGGCTCGTAAGTATCGATAGCGTCATGACTGGATCTGAATGCCTGGGCTAACTGTAAACTGCTTGACGGAAGCCATAATAAAAACAGCTTATCCGAAACAGTGTTACCAAACTATTTTAATTAAACGCCAACACATTAACGGACCCCTCAAGTGTTTGCACATCCAGCCACCAATTTGTCAACCTCACACTCCCTCCGTCTCTCCCACTGCCTTTACCACCATCTCTCACACCCACCGGCAGACACGCTCTCTCCCTCGTAATAGACTCATTAACACAGCTGGCGATGCATACATGTACATCCATGCAGACCTAAGTATGTATGTACATATGTATGTATGTATATGCGCGATGCTGTTTCTGCTTTCATACTTGCAATAAAATTGCAACCGTCCGTAATTGGCGCTGAGGCATGCAATGCGCTTCTCATCTTCATCTCTGCATGTAATAAATTATATCTGCGTGCTGTTGCTGCTTCTTTCATTCCATTTCCCTTTTTCCGCAAGTATTTCGTCGCATGCCAAAAATTTACAAGCAACAGCATTTTCTACATGCCTTCTCACACATGTTGCAGTTGTTTCCCCTTTTGAATGGTTTTGGGGGCCGTGATTTCTTCGATAACTGCAACTTTTGGCGCCAGCTGCTGAAACAACTTCTTCAGAGTAGGAATTGCTATCGCACTTCTTATGCCCTGAGGCAATAAGTAACTGCCTGACAGCTTTAGGCAGACACATGCGTCACATAACAGCAACTTGACCCAAAGCGCATTATCGGTTCAATAGCCAAGTTCAAGTTGAGTCAACAGCAACAACAACAGCGGCAACAGCTGAAAGAAAGCTTAGACCGTGGCTATCAAGTTGAGCAAGGCAAGCAAAGCGCCAATAACAACGCCTTAAGCTAAAACAACTCAAGGATATTCCCCTATATACTATAAACAAAGATACCATCGCACATGCCTAAAAACCAACACATATACAAGTATGTACATATACTATATACATATATGTAGAGTATGTTGCTTCCGTGTGTGGGAGGTGCTCGGTGGAAATGGAATCCTTGGCTATTTCGTGGGCTGTACGTCAATTCTTACAAAACACGCTAAAAAGTTCAAGGAAATAAATAATTTAAGGTAGGTACAAAAATAATATTTTTTTATTTGTAATGTAATGTAGAATCTCGTCTACTATTCATTCTACAAATGTTTTTGATAACAAAACACTGTACAAAATAGTTAATTGCTCCTGACTTTAAAATCCATTTGTTTACTCATTAGCAGTTATTACAATTTGACATTATATATATTTTATATGGTATTTGGAAATATTGAATGATATTAATAAGTGATTAATTTTATTATACTTTGTTAACACACAACGTACACAGAAGAGCGCAATAAAAAAGAACAGCCCTAACTCTTAAAAATCATGTACCCACTCTCACAAGAAAAAATTAAAAATCTATATATTTTTTAACTTCATGTTTTTTTAAATAATATTAATTAAATTAATAAAATAAAAAAGAAGGGTTAAAACACTCATGCACTTACAAGTAGAGTCGCAGAGTTTCAATATTTCTTCGAAATAATTTAATATTGAAGAATCATTTATGCAGATGAACATATTTATTTCTTATTTTATGTTGAAAGACTTTGAATATATATAATAAAATTCATACAAGCAAATAAGATATCTATAATAGTATTGCAATTTTTGGTATTTCCTAACCGTTCAAAACCGCAAGGGTGTTGCGGTTTCACTGCTTTAAAGTGATTTTCAATATCAATCAATACCAGCCATAATCGTAATACCCTTTTCCATTGAATCACACCGACACAAGTTCGAATGCCTCTATTGCCTCTATAATAGTATTGAAATTTTTGGTATTTCCTAACCGTTCAAAACCGCAAGGGTGTTGCGGTTTCACTGCTTTAAAGTGATTTTCAATATCAATCAATACCAGCCATATTCGTAATACCCTTTTCCATTGAATCACACCGACACAAGTTCGAATGCCTCTATTGCAATCAAGATAAGATTTCGAGTAAGTTTAAGTATGTACTATTAATCCAGCCCTCGTGTACAAGTACCTAGCATGTGTGTATCTATGTACATCCATATGTATATGCGTGTATGTATTCACTTGAAAGTCGTTGTCATGGAGCTTATTGCTATGTATGTATATCTTGTAAGATAGCTGCCATTCTTTTTGCAGCTTCGCATGCTTTCAACAAAATTAATTAAGAAGCACTTGCACTTGTTAAGCAATTGTTGTAGTAAGAAAAAATGAACAACAACAAGTCGTAAAAGTAATAAATCCTTCGTGCTGTCAACAGAGCGCCCCTTAATTTAGCCACATTGGAGCCGCCCTCGAAAACCTGAACGCATCTCTTCATTAAACTTAATAGAGGCAGGCACCGGCGCTGTCATAGAAAAACGACTAAATTTTAATCAGCGTGTGCCAAATTATTGTGCAGGTACGTATTACTTATTCTGCTGAAAACTGCCTGAATTAAAAATCCCATACAATTGGAGGACTGTTTACACATAATTAAAATTCAATTCAACGCAGACACGCACAGGCACGTTCGTGGGGATTACTTGATTTTAGCGGTTGGCGCCATATCCATCCATATGTAAACGTACCTGTGCATTTATTACGTGGGAACAATAGCAATACCAGCATATTTCAAATGTTCAGCATTGCCAAAATTTTGGTTATAAGGAAGAGCGTCTAGCACCTCCTCCCCTTCTTTCAGCATTCTATTTCTAATTTTGAGCTGAAATTTGTAGTTGGTGTCAAATGTTTCTGTGTTGGTGTGTGTGAAGCAGTGCTGATTTTTGAATAGGAGTGTTAACAGCACGGTTTTACAAATCAAATAGTAGCAGTTGAATGGCAGTTGATTGCAATTGGCGCCTGCAGTTTATTTTAGATAGATTTTTGGAAAATTGAAAATGCATGATGCATACGCACCCATAAATCAGATTTCGCATTTTAATTACTTTCTCTTAATTAAACGCTCTAAGCAACTTATATTTAAGGGAGAAAGGCAACTGATTTGAGATGCAATGGGAAGATTCAAGCCGCAAATGTGCCGTCTGATTTTGCAAAGCTCCAAATTTGCATGCTAGATTTATAATAGATTAGGATTTTCCTAAAAACCTGTAGCTTTAAATAAACTTTAAATAATAAAACTCCTAATCATGTATACAATTTTCAATCCCAGTTGAAAATCGGACATTTGACAATTGGTCATGGAATATTTTAAACTGCCTACTTATAAGATACATATGTACGTACATATTTTGCATTAGATAATTTATTAAATAGTCATTCAACCATAACTTAAACAAAAAAAAAGACATTTTTTGTATTGGGTGTATGTAGGTAACAAAATAACCTATTTTATGTCAATATAAATGCACAATGTAGGAAGAGAAAGGCTTTGCATTTTGTTAAACTAAATTAAAATCAAAATACACTAATCAAACCAATATTTAAGTATATACATATGTATACATACTCTTAGAGTGCTTTGCTCCTTGTATCTAAGCATTTACCAGCAATGTTTATATCATGAATGCCAGTACACGATATTGAACTTACGAGTTGTATGTGTTTACGTTTATATTTTGACAACTTATTTATATATGTTTATCGTCCATTCGTCTTTATTGGAGCAACACAATATACAAATTACCCACAATTGTTGGTGTAAAAGTACTTCAGGAGATACACAATACCACTTTAATGACCACATAAGTATATAGTATAGTATACACATGACATTTGTAAGATACGCTTGTATGTAAGTATATACATGTACATACATACATACGTACATATGTGGCCAGTGTGTGTTTGCGTTCATCATCAATCACAAAACGTCGGCGCTGTCTGTATGAAACTTTTAGCGAAAACGTTTAAACGTGACTTCCGACTTTGGGGAGCTGGACGTGCGTTGGGGGTCTTCCCTTAAGTGAAATATTTATTACAGCGATATGTTTATATCTAACCGAACACCTTGTTGTTCATTCACGTGAGTTCAGCTTTGAGCATGTATATGCATGTATCTGTGTGTGAAAGTGTGGGTAAAGTGTGAACATTGTAAAATTTGTTAGCACCAACAAGAGCCACGCACAAGCAATTCAATGCGCGGCCAAAAATATACATATGCATACCTGCAGATTTTGAGGCCACCAAAATAGTTGGCTGAATGCCACATAAATCAATTTATGGTCTTTACAGACATTATGCACGCTGTGCTTAAGGCCGTATGAATAACGGTATATTGTTGGAGTGGCACAAATTACACGAACCCTTTTCAACGTTGTGCACAATTAGATTAAGCTCTTTGACCTTTTATTTAAGCCGCATGCATTTCACAGTATCATGTTGTTGGGTAAAGCACCTTTGCAATGAAGTCTAATTGCCTCAATGGGCTTAATATAGCCTGGTTGCTTATAAAACCGGCCTGTGTGATTGATTAAAATTACTATATTTTACTTTGCAGCTCCGAGACATTCAAATTACAACTGCCTGCTTGTATATATTCGATTTCAAGTTTGGGGCACTTGCCAACACTTGCGCCTATCGCCAACCGCTATCGATATTTCAAATAACGTTTGGTTTCAGTGTTGTAAGGTACAGGCAAAACTCGCGCTCACATCACTAACCCTCCATTGAAGGCACCGCGACGCCAATCGAATTTGAGTTTGAATATTTAAAAAAAATAATTACAATATCTACATAAGTAAGTAATTTCAATCAACAAAATGTTAGCCGAATTGGGAAATCAACTCCAAGGCACCCGCGCAGAAGCGCAAAGCGCTGCAAATCAAATAAGAAGCAAATTCAATGATGTCTGCCAGCGCGGGACAAATAGCGTCGACTCAGCCACCAATGCATTAAAATTCAATTTGCAAGTGCAGCGACAATTGTGCTTGGCGTTGCAAGCGAATTGTTTTCAACATGCTGACATCTACTGCGATATTGTTGGTCATATGCTGCCAAAGATGAGGCCGTGCGCTGAAAAGCCCGCCATGTGGAACACGCATCTGGATTACCTGCGTTATTTTCATAACTCGCTAAAGGTAACTATATTTGTGGTATAGCTTGTAATGTATACATATGTTGCTCAATGTGATCTCTTAATAGCAAAACTTGAACGAATGCCAAAGACTGTATGCCATGATAAACTCGCAGCCCTGTCGCCTGCAAACTGAGACTGATTACAATATGTACCTAAAGATCCACATGTGCCATTTCAACGTGTTCCAAATGCAATGGCAGAATACAAATACCCATAAAGAAGAATACAAGAAAGAGCTGCACAAATCTTTGGTGGCCCTTGGCTCGCTTTTCGAAGAAATGTTGCAGCAAAAAAGGTCTCAACAATTTAGATATTCTGGCTTGTTGGGCGAACTAAACCTACTTTTGTTACACAAACGGAGTCCAGCATTCTTAAAATTTCTCAGCACGCTGTCCCAAGATCATACAAACAAAATGTTTTCACCACTCTTTCGGCTGCTTGGCTCCACCTCCATTCCTGCGGCTGAGCTTAACGCGGAATTTGTCGAACATCTTTGCGCCTTTCTAAGTCTTTATCAGATTGATGTGTTCTCGGTAGAGTTGCACCAACAATTTGGTTTGCAGTTCCTGCGCAGTTGCCGCGAACTTTTCAAGGAAAACTCGACTCAACACTATGCCATGCAATTGCTCTACTATTATGTGAAGCTGCTGTACGTACGTGAAGACACACCGGGCTTTAAAAGCACTTATATTGATCTTTGCAAAAAATTTGTAACTTTCTTCGGGCATAAATGCGCGTCCGTTGTTAAGGAACAGTGGTTTGTCGACCTTCTGCTAACCTTGCAGCGCCTCCTTAGACAGTTGCATTCTAGTAACAGTAGATCTGGGCCCTTTGAGTTTTTCTGGCAGCAATTAGATGGCAAAGACAGCACTCAATCATACATAGCACACCTTGAATTGCTGCACATCTGCCACAAGAATTCAGCGCACGTTACCACCAGCCAATTATCCACAAAATGCAGCAGCAGCGCCTGCACAGATGCCAACAACCATTACATACTGTCCTTTGGCTTCTGCGCCGTGACCGCTTACTGCAATTACCAACAGCAGAAGGATCATGAAATAAATGCAGTGAGTATTTATATAGTTAGTAAATAGTCTACCCTTCACCAGTTTCAATCCTAATTTTTAGCAAAATGTAGCTGTTTTTGAAAAGCATGTACAGACCATTGTTGGCAGCGTCGCAGATGTCGCGCCCAAAACTAAATGCTTGGGAAAATCCAACGCTGAGCTCATCGAGTTTGTGCGATATTTGGCTCTCGTTGCTAAAAACATATCATCCCCAGCGGAATTCCAGTTCGTGTTAGGTATAATAAAGCTTGTCCTGCCAATTCGACGCCTAATAGCAGCGCAGGAAACGGCTCAAATTCTGCGCTATGTTTACAAATCGTGCGCACACTGCGAAGATGCGGAATTATCTGCGCAACTACAAAGCGCCTATATTGCTAGTATTACGTGTCCATCTCGACTGCACATGCAACTCCGAATTTTTTATTATAATTTAAACCGATCACAGAAATGCGTCTCGGAACTTAATGAGGCCAGTCCTTTGCGGAACGATCTAACGCCGGCAGCGAAACATCAGCTTTTCGAAATGGACATGTCGGTGATTTTGCAATTTTACAAAACAAATTTGCCACTGCTGCAGTCGTTGCAGCGGTGTCGTCGAAATGATTATCAATTCGTGCTTATCGCTCGTCTCATGCGCACTGAGAAAGACATTGTTCAGGAGCTGAAAGAATTGCGAGCCAAGCTGCGAAGCATGAGCTTTAAAAAGCCGCTTACACGTCTACAGCACTTGGTTTACGCTCATGCCAATGCCATCACATTGGATGATGAGTTGAAAGCGAAAAAGGTAAACATACCTGTAAAGGAAACGATCGAAAACAACTTGGAAGAACTTATTATTAAATACAATCGATTGGACATTCATGTTGATAGCGAGCAGCGTCTTTTGAACTTGGCTACAGTGGCTATGAACAGTTTTAAGGAATTCTTCACTAAGGTAAGTCGGGAATGTAATCTATAATGTGTCTATAACAGAAAATGTATTTCCCAAACTGTTCAGATCAGAACGAAAAGGGTTTCCTTAAAAGCGTAATAACAAGAATAAGACAGTCTATAATAATGTAAAAAATGTGTATTTTAAATAGCTTGTTTTATAATTTATTTTGCAAGTTATAAAAAATATGTAGATTTATGAGGGGAAATAGGGTAACTGTGCATTTAGTACTTAAGATCAAAATTTTCCCGCCATTTTCCAACATCTTAGATTGTTACTATAACACCCTTTTTTTTTAGGCTGACGCAGAGCCCATAACCAGTGACGAGGCGATTATTGATTGGGAGGCAATGATTGAGGACTTCACACTAACCGCGGTAGCTTTAACCACCCTGGGCTATTTACAGGAGGCGGACGCCTCCTGGCATTTGCTGCTACGTATTACCCATCTATTGGGTGATAGATTCGGTTACTTGCGAGCGATCTCGCATTTATTCTCTCGAGCTGCGGATAAGGAGATCAGGACTCGCTTCAAACTAGCGGAAGAGGCTGAGAATGCGGAGCAATTGCTTGACGAGCTGTGGCCCAAGTTGCAAAGTTTTCCATATAAGCGTCAGCATACAATAGTGCTGCTTTGTTTTTGCCACTTGGCGCACTATTATGCAAGCCTTGGGCATCGAAGCCATGCCCAGTTGCTGTTGTTGCATGTGCAACGACTACGGAACGAGTTCGAGGAGCGTCGCGGCACAAAGGATATAGTACTAATCACTATGGAAGCGGTTCAATTCCGAATGCTCTATCAGCAGGAGCAGCGTTCGCAGCTCAGCTTCACAAGTCCAACTGCTTTACGAGTGATGGATAAACTACTAGACGACATACGGGATTTCAGCTGGTTATCCTCCGTAGACTCGTCATATTTATCCATCCTTACATTCGATTTGACGCGTGAGTGTGCCGAGTGTCTGGCTAATCGGATGGGCGAACGAGTTTTCTTGGTCAATAGTGTTCTCAACGCAACCTTACAAGGTGGATTCGCACTCCGCACTGTGGAGACGCTTATTTCGTGGTTGTGGATCAATCTACAAATGGAGAGCATGGACAGAGCGCAATCAAAGCTACGACTGTTGGAGCATTTCTTGTGTATTAAACCGCTCGATAAGCTTGACCGTCCGAAGGGAGAGCGCATCGGCAAGAATCCCGCTGCGTCCAAGAGCAATGAAGCGAGTCACATGAACGAGCTCATAAGTAAAATGCTGCTCATGCAACTGCAACTGGAACCAGTAAGAAAACAAAATCCAGTGGAGGTGAAATCGCTTTACGTGGTAAGTTATGGTAATTAGTGTAGATGTTGATAGAAATAGTGGGTGTATACCGCGAATCCGAAGGATAAAAGGGTATTCTTACTTGTTTATTGCGAATGTATGTAACATCTAGAAGGCATTACAGTCCCACAAGTATGACGAGATAAGTCGATAAAGCCATGCCCGTTTGTTCGTATACCCTGCTTTTAAAGCTTTACGGGTTTTCGGTGAAAAAATTATTTAATGTGGAACCACTGTTCGGCCAAGCTTTGCATTATAGATCGCAAAACGGTGCAATATAGTTCGTTGCTTTTAAATCCTTGAATCCTTGAATTATTCGCCATATATTTGCGTTAATATTAGACGATAAGACTCAGCAACAGATTTCTGTGATTAATTCAGAAGACTTTTATTTGGATCATATGTTGTATGTATTTTTAATTGCAAATGAGTTTGTGTACACCACACTGAATTTAATTCAACTGGTAATAAAAGATATCCAGGATGAGAGATGAAAATTTGGAACCGAAGTTTCTGCTAGTGCCATCTATTTGCAAACGAATGCCTTTTTTATATACCTAATATGATAATAATTCCGCTCGAAATCCCTAAATATGTATTGATAAAATGCATCAACAAGATTTTAAAAGTAGAATTTTTAATTTATTATTCTTCTGCAGGAAACCATGTCACCGAATGCCGCCAAATCACAACTTCAACGTTATGTCGATGAATCTCATGACACCTGTTCGGTGCTCCATAATAATGTGCAGCTACGACGCATCTTTTTTATTATGGGGTGTCTGCAAGCTCGCTTTTACTTTCTGAATCGAAATCACATGGAGCAGCTTGCCGACTTCTATGAACAGTCGAACACATGTCTGGAAAAACATGTCCAGACAGACGCATCCTTTAGCCATATGCTGATGGTGCATCAACTTTATCATGCCAATTTTCTGCGTGCGAATCAAAAGCATCAGATGGCCATTGGCATGCTGATGAACGCGTTAAAAGGACTCGAGACATTGCACACAAGGATGGACATTAATTATCGTTACAATTTGCAACTCCAGCTGCGTACTGTACAAATGGAAGTGCAGCTAAAGCTGCAGCCGCCAATGGAAGTCAAGAAACCGCCTCGTCGGGCCTTGCAGTTCAACATATCGCCGGAGGAGCGACCCAAGACGGCACTTTCTGCAATGAAGCGACCAAAGCCAAGGACAGTCAAGACCAAAATTGCTGTGGAATTTAAAATATATACAGATGAAGAAGTCAGCAGCATCAGCAGCAATCCCACGACCACTTTGTCCGAAAACCACAGGGATCCTGTGGACTTGAATTCATGTCTTCTAATCGACTGCATCGATTTAAGCGATGAGGATGATGGAAACTCTTTAGAGGCGCCTGAAGCTATTCCGCTTCACCGCATTAAATCAGAGCCCCAGCGTGCTACGAGTAAGAGGACGGAAATAATTGAGCTAGATGATAGCATTGTGGAAACGCCGATTGTGAGACGTGTTGCCAAGCTGGATCGTTGCAAATCTTTAGATATAAGAGCCACTCGCCAGCCTAAAGCTACCCCAAGGGAGACGCCAATGGCAGCCCTAGCGACGCCTGCAAGCACGACCCAAACCCGTACGCGACTCCGACGTACGCCCGCCTCGGCCGCAGTGACCGTGCCGGAAGCCACAAGCAGTAGATCCCTGAGCAGTAGACGCCGTCAACGTAACTGATGAACCAAATGCTCAATAGAAAATTTTACAATATTACAAGGGTATTTAAGAATCGCCGATTAGTTGCTTAACAGCTTAAAGTTAAAACTCTTTGTCTTTTTGTTTGTTATTTTAGATTCTCTGACATTTTTAATTCTTTTCTGTAGTTTTTGTTTTCCCGATATTGTATCTGATTAAATTATTATTTATTATTGAAGCAGTTAAGCATCTAATTAGCCTTTCGTTGAGACCCTAACTGTTTCTTTTCTTGTTCATTTTTTATTTTCTATATTAAGATTAAAGTGTTGTAATTATTAAAAGCACTGCTCGTGCTCTCACAAGCAGACTTCATCGTGATTTTGTGTGGCATGTTCCTGAAATAAATTCCTCTCCTGCTTCACAGTAACGTCAATAAATGAATTTGTGCAACAGTTGTGAGTCCAAATCCCACGCTGGACACATGTCTCCCGTCCCAGATAATGATAGTATGTGCCCTCGCCGGATTTCTCGCCGTGCTCAAAGACGCCCTCATAGCGATTGCCATTGACTGTAATTCCATGCAACATTAAAATTAATTGGATGTTCATTTAAATTACGCTTAATACTGAAAGTGACAAAAATTAAATTATGCTTAAAATCGACTGTTTACTTTTTTGAATTTGGTTCAAGATTTACAAAATAGACTACAAAGATTACACATTTACAACTTCACGAATAAACAGAAATCCACGAAATCTCAAAATAATTTACTAAATTGGTAAATTATTGCAAAAATGGCCTTCGTTTAGACTATGATAAAAAGAACTAAAAAATGTCTAGACTTTCTCAGACGAAATATTTCCACACAATGCCACTCACCATTGTAGAGCACTCCCAGGCCATGCATTTTGTCCTGCGCCCATTGGCCAACATAGATGCGGCCATCTGCATACCATTTTATTCCTAAACCATGGCGCATATTCTGCCGCCACCGACCGAAATAAACAGATCCATCGTTGTAGAACTGCTTACCCTCGCCCCACCGCTCATTTTGCTGCCATTGCCCCACATAGATGCGTTGTGCCCTGCCGTCTGGACACAGTCGTCGCAGCGTGCCGTAACCATGTCGCTCACCGTTGCGCCATTCACCCTCATAGATCAGACCCCGTTTGCTCGTCTTAACTCCATAGTTGTGATGGCGATTGTTCAGCCATTTTCCCTCGTACCGCCCACCACTTGGATACCGAAAACACCTAACGCCGCTGACGTTCGTACGGCACGACATGCTCCCATAAACTGAGACCTATGGCCCCAGGAAATTCATGTTCTTGGTTGTGTGACACCTGCGGTCGTACCTGTCCCGCGACAGCCGCGTGCGTGTTGCTTTGTTATATCCAGGATAGATGGGTATTGCGATTATGTTAAAATATCTTCCGCATATTATAGTTGGGAAGAAATGAATGACTGACGTGGTATGTACAACTATACTTGTATTATGTAAAATTAATTCAATACAAGTATACATATGTGCTATACTGAAATACGAGCCTACACGACAAGTTGTGGCTCAACACAGCATATTGCTCTGGTCAGACAGTTCTCGACATCACCTAATTATTCTAAATGCTGAATTTTGCACAGAATTAAAATCCTTTTCCTCCAACTTCGATTAAATTATTCAACCGGCATTCAGATTAAATAATTTAAGCTCTGCAAACGGATTTCAAAGGTTTTCGTTTTACCTTATCCAATAAATGGTTGTAATGTGTGTTTGCTGCCAAGTTTAAATTTATTCCCAATTTTAATGATTAATTTACAAATCGTTTTGAAAAATGCAGCCTATGGGTATTAAGCCTTACAAATATCTTATTCTTATAATAAATATAAGGCCTAGTTCGAAGACATATTATTTTGTAATCATTATATATTCTTATATAATAAAAAATAAAACTGAAAAGGCGGATCTTCTGTCTTTACGTTGTATAATTATTATTTATTGCATCGTTAACCAAATATTTTAATTGATTATTAATTGTTATAGAATTGGAATGATTTCGAAACGAGAACACTGTTGTTCATGCATTCATTCTGAAAAGGAAGGACCAAATTAAAACCAAGTCGAAAATAATAACATTTCTGGAGAGCATTAATGGACTCCAAATGAACAAATAATTCATGAAACTATGGTCAGACGGGTAAGTTATCTGCACACAAATTTGTCGAATGTCACAAGTATGTCGTTAATAAAATGTTACTTCCTTTTAAATCAATAACGAATCTCAGAATTACTTCTTATTGCTTGTCTGGCCATAGTTATATTTTGCATTACAATTTAGAATATATAAATAGTAATTATCTTTTAAGTCTGCTATGTGATAAAGTAATATTAATATTCCTCAATAGTTATAAGGACAAAGATAGGGATCTTTTGTCTTATCCACTTTTACAATGGTTGTTATTGCTAACTCAAATATTATAATCGTTGTACAGTCTTGTAAATAATGTATTTGGGGTGCGACGTGGAAAATTTGGGCGTGTTTTCGCAAATTTTCTGTCATGTTCTTTCTAATCAAGTATCGACCTCGCTACATGTCTTGTCGCCATTCTAATAGCAATTTCTCTGTTCTCTGGTTATGTGCCTGGCACGCGAACTCTATGTTGTTGTCTGTCACAACATTAAGCGTTAATTTTTATTGGAGCATGCACACCCGCACCCATATCCACATCCACATCCATATCCACACCCACAATCGCCTCACAATTCAAATTGATGGCCCTGTTGACTCGCGTATGTGTTGCAGTTGTTGTTGTCGTTGTCGTGGCAAAATTGTTTGCTTTGGAAACCATTTTGACTTGAGGTATCTGGAAAATAATTCCGTTTAATTACACTACAACGCATTTTCACTTATGGATATTATTTGACCTATCAATAAATATGGTACAATAAATTTATAAGTATTTCATAAAATTAGCGCTTGTCAATAATTAGTTTACAATGACAATACGCAAAAATATTTAGTAACATATAGTATATATGTATGTATAATTATAAAAAAAACACACAAATCTATTGCCTTATGCGTATCACAATTTGCACGAACTACAAATTCACAATATACGTGTGGTTTCTGTCTGTCCATCTGTCTGATGATTCCCAGTGCGGGTGTCTTTTTTCTTTATTTTGACTCGTACAGAGTGTGTTCCCATTCTTTAATACTACTCGTACATATTTTTGCATTCCTAAACGATGTCACCGGCGGCGCCATAGTGCAGTCCATTGTTGCGCGTATTGTGTTGGTGTTCCAGATGATCCTGCTCCATTTGCTCCTTGAGTATCTCCAGCTCTCGTATGCCCGAGACTGTAACCTCATATTTATGAGTAACCAGCGAGCGATAGAAGTGAATGGCGAATGCCAGGAAGATAATTAGCACGGGTATGAGTACAATACAGGCAGACCAGGCTGCAGGCTGGCTCAGATCGTAGAACTTCACCCAACAGAGTATCGCTATTTCGAGCAGAAAGAGTATCAGGCCCAGTAGTGTGGAGAACGCCCAGGCGGTCTCAATGTACCAGTGCAGACGTTCGTGCGGAGATTCATGGACCAAAGAAATGCTGTGCAGATTGCACACCGTCTCTATATTGGGAAGAATGCAGGTGCTGATCATCAGAGCCAACATATGGACCGCCACCAGCATTGTGGTGCAAATGGCAAAGGCAACGAGCATGCCCGCCGGCACCTGTGTGTCGTTATTCAGCTGCACCTCAACCATGGCCACCTGTACGGAGAGAAGCAGAGAGAGAGAGAGAGAGAGAGAGAGAGCGAGAGACAGAAAGAGAATTAATATTTGGAGAGATAGTCCTCGAATGCAGCTAAAGAGCAGGCGGATCGGGGTGACGTGCGTACCCCTTCATTATTATTATTAGCTACTTATTCGAAATGTAAATTTTTTTGGCAACAGATGCGACAAGCCATATACATTTCTATGAATGTATGTGTATAAGAACTAATTTATGCGATCTGCAACGCCCTCCATCTGTATGCCTCCCTCTCAACCAATTTTCTATGTAAAATATTTAATTCAAAAAATTGCGAGGGCCAGAGAAAAGATTGTTGGTTTATTATTGTAGAGCATACATTTTCATCAATTTCTATAAAAGACAGTTGCGTTACTAGATTTAATTGTAGTTGTGTTAGATTCTGTTTTAGGGTTTCTTTCTTTTAAGTTTAATTTAACGTATTTGTATAAATAATATTTTCTACACCTCTTTTAAGGATATTCCTTAATAAGCATGCTTATGTTTCCCTCTAATTAATTCTTTAGATTGAACTAGATCTTCACTCGTAACTAACTTTAAACTGAAAATCTATAATTTTTCGCACCCGTTTAAGATTGCTTTTATTTTTTTACTTTTTATACTCTGTACAAGAAATGTACAAGAGGTTTGCGCGAGCTGAAAAATGTAACAGGCAGAAGGAGGCGTGGCAGACCCTGATATGGCATGCTGATATTCTTGATCAGCATGACAAGACTAGTCGATTTAGCCCTGTCTGTCTGTCTGTCTGTCCGTCCGTATGATCATCTAGATCTCAGAGACTATAAGAGATAGAGACACCAAATTTGTACAAAGATGCCTTATGTGTGTATTCTATACGAGTTTTTTTTTTTTTTGATTTTCCCCCCCACTTCCCCCCTATGGGGGTTTTCCCGATTTTCCATTCGAATAATCGCCTATATCTCGGAGACTATAAGATCTAGGAACACCAAATTTTAGTCCCAGATGCCTTATGTGAATACGCAGAAAATGTGTATTTTGGAAATTCCCTCCCTCCCCCATCTCCCATGCAAATTGCGATTTTTTCTAACTCTCGTTATTCTTCGAATTTCGAACTAAAAGAAGTTATAGCGCTGCTCAATCGCTGCCCCCGACTGTTGTTGATGCTGGTGCTTTGGTTGACTGCACACATGTTTACACAGACACGAATAGATGCGCATAGGCATACATACACTCACACAGACGCAATTGCTATGTAAATGTGCTATTATATACCCTTTACTTTAATTTTCTTAATTTTTTTTATTTTCTATAATTATTGTAAACATATGTACAGAGTATTTCAAAGTCGGGACACCCGACTTTAGCTTTTTTACTTGTTTTACTTTTTTATTGAGGATGAAAGCCAATCACCGGCAATATCTAATGGCTTTAAAAGCCATTGAAATCGTCGCATGAGGATAAACTCCGCATTCTTGAATTCATCGATCAGTCAATATTAGTTATCTATAATTTTCTGTAGACATACCGCTTTATATTGAAATATTAGCTCCGAAATGTAAACAAGATTCAACCGCAAAGCTACTAAATGTAACGTGAAGATTATATAAAAGGATTTTACTTTATTTTGAGGCTAATCCTCAACAATATAATTACTAAGGCAAAATTCTCTTTTCAATTCGTTTAAAGCGGTTAGTTGTGTTTGATTTTCTCACAACTTATTGACTTGCCCTCGCAATAAAAATTTACAAAACAATCGCGGGCTGTATTTATGAGCTTATTTATTAGCAATAACTTTTGTTTAATTATATCCTGAAAATGGTGGATAATTACTTTCAAAGACATATCTTTCGGCTACTGAGAAAATAATGCTGCTAAAAAATGACGATTGTTCGGAAATGTTGTTTCCGTTGCAATTTTTGTGTCATAGCCCCCGTAGATGACTTTCTCATCCCCTATAATAACCCACAAAATGTTGAACCCTGACCATTATGAGCTATAAAGAATTTATAATGGGTGTAACTATAATTATTTTGCTGCGCCTTGAAGAAATTCCTAATTCCCTAGTTTAAAATTATGGCAGATTTCTTAGGGGTTTACTTGATTTAATAAGATAAGTATATTAGTCTGCAGATTATTTGCCTGTCTAGCCAATTATTGAGTTTTTCGACTTACCATTGCGAAGCCGGAGAGGAGGGCGGACGTCTTGCTGGATGCCTTTAGTTTGGCACGACTTAATTGCAACTTGCGCCACGATAAGTAGCTGGGCGAATGCAGATCCTCTCCAGATTGGGACATGCTGACGCTGCCGGCGCGGCGCGGCTGAAATCGAGAGAGTTGATGCTGTTGGTAGGTGCGAAATAGATATTGGGTGGATGACTGTGCTATGGAAGCATGCGGTAGTGGCAGCGGCGGCGGAAACGGCGATGGCGCTTGAAAGCGTCTGGAGCCAGCGTTTGGAGAATTGAGATTATAGCTGGGACAGCGTGCTGATTCGTTATAGCTTTTCTGATGCGCTAAACCACCCGAGCTGCAGCTGCTCGGACCCGATTGATTGGGACGACTAAGATTGCTGCTGCTGCTCGGACTGTGAAAACGCAGTGGACGACACGAATCGCAAAGGCTGTACTCTTGTGGCAAACAATGTTGATGGCCCGCGGGGCAGACATGCGGCGCAGGCACAAATGTGGAGGAGGCGGTGGCGGCGGCTGTGTACGGATCAACGCTGGCCGCCAATTTGGCCGTAGCATGCAGGGCACTGGCTATGGCCGATGCTGGCGGTGGATGCGGGGGACGCTGAGCAGCATTGGCGAATTCATACCGTCTTCGGCCAGCGGGCACAATTCGGGGGCCAAGAGCGTGCGCTGGCGGCGACCCTGTTAATGGCGCACTGGCGTTGTCTAGCGTTTCGCTGCTCTCTGTACGCTCTGTGGGCGCGGCGCTGTCGACGGAGGAGCTCTGATGGTTAAGCAAGAGGCTGCTATGGCTGAGGTTTGTGCGCGCATAACGGAGACTTGAGTACATACTGTTGATGCCGTTATAATTGCTCTTCTCGTCCTTCGCACTCTCCAATTGCTGTTGTTCTTGTTGTTGCTGTTGCTGCTGCTGCTGCTTACGTCTGGGCGGTTTGTGTGGCAACTCGTAGGGATTCGAACGCATATAGTTGCTGTTGTTGCTTTTGCTATTTGGCTAATTGGTATTCTGCTTTGCTCAGTTCTATAATAATTTTTTCTGTATGTGCTGATATTTCTCTCTCCTTGCTTGATCTTGTTTTATAGCGAATTTTCGGGTCAGTCTGTTCAAGAGCTTAATGATTAGATGTGCAGAGGAACAGAAACGAAAAAAACCTTAAGCATGTGCTCTGTGATTAAACGGCTTTACCCACACAAATCCATACATACATATGTACATATTTTAGTTAATACTTGGGAATTTCAAAACTACCTTAAAAACATACAGACAAAAACAGTAACAATTACAGATATTTCTTATTGAGTATAGTTTTGATTGCAAGTTTGGAGCTTGCCCCTGGTCAAGTTTTTTTTTTTTTGCATTTATTTTGCTTATCTTGACACAAGCCGCTGGGCCAATGCATAGAAAAATGCAAATCAACGTCAATCTCAATTCCCATTCACTCACTATAACATTTTCCTATAATTTTTATTTTTTTCGTTTCACTTCACTGATTTTGCATTGCTCTTACTCAGACTGCTGTTTGTTATTGTTTAATGATAAATGTCTCATTATGTTACTACTGCTCGACAATCGGCCAGCAATTATTCTGAATACATATACACAAATATGTACGTATGTACATATGTATATATTATTTATATGCAAGCGTTAGTTGCTTAATTATGCGACGACCCGACCGAATTTCAGCGCCTTTTCAGCGCGATCTCTACATGCCCTACCCTCTATACTAATAAGAGCATGAAGCACATTCGTTGAGTGAAAAGTCATGTAACATTCAGAAAGAAATGATAGAATTGTGCGTGATCGTGAAAGAGTGAATGAAGTGAATTTCGCAAACGAGACAATTGCCAAAATTATCGTGAAAATCGCGAAGAGATCATGCTTTCACGAAAACTCACGAGACGAGAAGAATGTACGAAGTCGAACATTTTTTTAAAATGAAATATAAGCTAGCACAGAAAGCATCGATCTCTAAAGCCATAACGCCTATTGTTTTACAATTGGAAACAAATTATTACAGTTGAGAAAAAATAAAACGATATTTTCTTTGTTTTGGATTATCAAAAATGTTTCTACGTTTTAAAAAATTAAATAAATAATACAGACAAGACCAAAGTGTTTATGACATCGTTCTGTTATGATAAAATAGTTTAAAGTTCGTGCGTGACCGTTAAATGTCACACACCTCCGTAACTTTTGAAAACATGACATAAAATGATTGACGACATTTCTGTTAATTCTAAATTCGCACACAGCTCTAGAGTGAAACAGTTGATCTTGATTAGCTGTGGTGTGGATTTATGTCTTTAGGAAACATTCTATATATAACCTTTCATTTAAAAAATTTGCATTTTATTTAAATACCGACTATTTTTATGAATACGTTGTTGTGTTCTGCACAGAACGAACCCTTGGCAATTATTCAATTTTTTATTATTTTGATAATTGAGCAAAGTTAAATATCGAAAACGTTTTCTGTTCTACCAGTTGTTGGTTAGTTATGAGTTATTATTTGGTGGCTGCTAGAAGAGGGTATCCCATAGACGACAGTCTACTATATCTAGTGAAATGATTTCACTTGATCTCATCTACATTGTATGTATGATAATTATGTATGTGTGTGGGTTTAGCCTGTGCCGCCGTATTGAAAGATCATTTACTATTTATTTATAAACATTTTATACGTTCATAAAATGTAAGAAATTGAAAGAAAACTGTGTTTTTTTTCGCAGAGAAGCGCGCACTTGAGAAATTTCTACCATTTCAACACAATTGGTACGAATGTGTGTAAGAACTGAGACATGGCCCGGTTATTACCGTTGTGGGCTGTTTGCACTTGAAACGCCATACGGACACAAACACAGAAACACACACCACGTACATTACATACGTATGTATGTATGTATGACTAAACACTGTATATGTATGTATGTATGTAAGTGTTGTTATTTATGTTGGACGCGGCACGAGATTTCTCATTTTTGCAACACTTCCGTACGCAGACAGCGTCAACGAGAAATTGAAAAGTAATTCCACTTTTTCGACACAATCGCGATTCAGATTCAGATTCGGATTCATGTAACAATCAATTTTATTTCACTCTGATCGCGTCTGCCGCCTGTCTATTTGTCTGCTTCGCTCTCAATCTCTCTCTCTCTCTCTCCTTCTGTTTCTCTTTGACACTATGAGCGTGCGTGTTCCTTGATGACGATTCGCGAATAGCGGCGGTGGTTCGAGTGGTGCGAGAGGTTCGAATGCGCGACGTAGCATCGGCGGCAACGACTGCAAGTTAACAACTAACTGATACGACAACGGCTTGTGCCTCAGTGTGGGCTGCCAGGCGCGTTATTCATTGACGAAGACGAGGGCGACGGCAAAAGCGGACGTGGTTGGATGATTTGGTGATGGTTGGCGACGTTGATGCGATTCGGTGCGGAGCGACGCGCCATATTCAAATTCGACAATCAAATCGCCGGCGACGGTGGCTGCGGTGTTGGCAAAAAAAACAACAGAAAATCGAATTACTAATGGCGTACGAATGAAAGCGTATAAGCGACAGTAAGCAACAGCTACAGCAACAACTACCACACAAACAGAAGCAATAACAATAAGAGAGAGATAGAGAGAGAGAGAGAGAGAGCAAAGAACTAAAGCAGGCGAGCGGAAGAAACAGTTTACGAATGACTTTCAGATACTCTTAAAAAAATATATTCATGTTTTAGATACATACTTGTATATATATTTTTAAGTCACAAATAGAATTCAAATAAAATACGTCCTTTAGAGCGAGTTTATAGCGTAAAGGTTGCAGTTTCTAAACGATAAAAATAATGACTTGTTTTTAATTTTACTTTTCCATTTCACAAGAAAATTATAAAAGTTTTAAAATGTTTCGATAATAGCTGTTTTATACAACTATTTTTAAAAAACGAATACTTTTTCATGGATTTAAATTTGTACATAAAAAATTTTAATTGTGTGATTTGCCAATCATTAAATTTTGGATAAACGTTGGAAATGTTTTTCATCGGAATTAAATTACTTTTACTTTCGTTCTTAATGCAGAAATAAAATTACATTCCAGTAAAATTATTTCCAACATATATGTATATAGGGAAAGCTTCTAAACTTTCAGAAATTGAATACTGAAATACAAACTTATATTAAAATAACCCTTTTGAAACCTAATGAATAATACGATCGGATTTCGGAATCCGAAACAATGATGATTTATTTTTATTTACTTATAGAATAGAGGAAGTAAGTCTGTAAGTCTGCCAGACCTTTTTCTTTAGTGTTACATAAACCTGTACGAGTTGATAGTATACTCCTACCTTTAAGAGTACACAATAGAAAAGCAACACATTCGGTAATCAATCAGTATTTTTACCTGTCGTTCTTTATTTATTTATTTTTTGTTTAATCAAATCGAATTAAATGGGGGAAATAAAAGCAATTTTCGTTGGCATAGCTTGTAACATTTAGTCGAAAAAGAAAAAAATGTGGATGCCATTGCCAAGTGCGTGCAGTGGCCCTGAACTGATTTGAGGCAATAAACTGCTAATTCAATTAATATCGAATATGTATACATTGTGTTTATTATAAATTTGAAGCACTTAACTCTTGAACCCATCAGCAAAAGATGGCCAACAAGACAACCATAAAAACTACTGGAGAATGGAAATATAGGCGCATGCTTTGCGATAAAACATTGTCGAGCCAGGCTTTATGTTCATAGAGACCACTGTACAGCGTGTCTATGGAACCTCCACAAATTCTATTTGGACCACCCGCGGCAATGCCGTAGAGGATACCATCACAAATGAGTGGACCGCCCATATCGCTTGTGCAAATATTGTCATAATATTCATCGGTCTCCATAATCAGATTGGGAATTGGACAGGAAAGTGATGTTAAAACATCCTCGCAGCTAGAACAGTTCTGCCTGTGCACATCCAATACAAGCAATTCACTTGTTAAAGGTCCATTCTGTAGAAGATGTAAATTATGTAGATGGAACGTGTTCTGAGGAATATAACTCAATCCTACTCCTCAACCTACCGTGAACATCTGTGACCAACCCATAGTTTGACACTTCTGTTCGTATTTCAGCTCAGAGTAGGCTATTCTAATGGGTAAAGCATTTTGATGACATTTGGGGATATACCATTGCAGCTCCAATACGGCGAGGTCATACAAGCAGTTTGCCCGGAAACCGGGATGTGCAATAATATTCTTGACGCCTATGATATTTTCCGGCATCGGATTCTCTAAACGATTTGTGATTCTCGCTATTACCACAATGTTTTTAGTCTTAATCGCATGCCTGTAGGAGCTAATGGTTTGGTTAGCAGAGACCAACTCTCCTGTTTATGGCTTGGCTTACTGAGTGACGCATTGGGCTGCGGTTAAGACGCGACTGCAAGTTACTACCGCGCCCGAACAAATGTGGTTATCGCCATTATATTCAAGCGGCTGAAAAGTTCTAATTGAAACGAGGTGATTGATACCAGGTAACAAATTTCGCAATGGTTTTGGATAGGTATCCTTTGAGATAAAATAGATTTTGCACCAAATGCCAGAAAAATGTAGATAGAGTAATAATTTAAATAGAAAAATGTTTACATAATTGTGTTGACGCATTGGGCTGCGGTGTGTTAGTAGCTAAAGGAGTGCTTGAAATTTTAAATAGGAGAGTGGCCTAATACCTTTCGAAATATAGTATATTCTAATACACATAGAAGTTTAAAAGTGAAGGTACTCACGACCAGTGGTTAATGGGTAACAACCAAGAATTGCATGGACGAAGTTTGACTAATTGTAACAATATACATACATAAATAATGGTTTAAAATTTGAGTTTTTTTTATTCCATATAGCCGAACGCTGAAAGGGGGAAGGTTAGTACAAAGTATGTACAAACTGCCGGATGGAAGCATATCCAACTCCATAATATAAAACTTTTTTTAATCAGTAATATTCTAACAAAATATAACATTTCTACCACATAAGAATGCCCAGAGAGCGTCAATAAGATCAAGGGCATAACTATCAATGCTTTTAGTTCTAATAAGAATGTCAATTAATAATGACTATATGGCTATAGTCAATTACCTTTAATGTGAGTGCAAGGTTCAGTCGAGATGGGTTTCTAATAACTTAGCATTTGAGACAGCTAATTTTTGTTTGTAAAACGGATACCAACGAGTGAGAAAATTATGAGAATTTTTAAAATTCAAATCTAAAACTCGATGCAAATAACTATTCAAAATATTCCATTGAATAACTATAATAAAATAATACGAGCATATCTACATTTATTTATTTTTTTTACAACTAAAAATATAGCATTGGGCTTTCCCCCAGTAGCCAGCCTGCCCTCTGTTAGCTTTAAGCATAATACAATATCAATATTAGCAAATAAATTAAGTATTCCCTTTTGTCAGTTATTTGTTTAAATAATTGGAAATGGGAAGGCTGTGTTATAGGTGCCAAGTGTTTGCATAAATACGATAACAGGGAACCCTTCCGGCGCACTTCCGCCGATGGGAAAACCGCCAAATTCCACAAAACATAAAATTTATAAAAATACGGGAACCAAGTGGTTTGAAAACAAAACGAGATAAGCAGTGACCAGGAAGGTGTGTACATTTTATTATCATTAATTTTTTTAAGCGACCGCCTTATTTCGTTGAGAATTCGGCAACAATTCTTCAATTTATATACCCAGGGTACATGGTTTATCGTAAGTAAACAGCTGATAAGTAAACAGCAACCTTAATGAGCCATTTATACGAATATGTAAGTTGGGGATACGGCAGAGTTTTTCGTTTCTGAATATAAGTTGGGGGCGATGACAATAAGCACGCTTTTTATGACGTCATGCCAATACATAAGCTCGAATTTTGTGTTCAATATTTTTGCAGGTATGTATATGTATGTGTATATATGTATGTATGTATGTAATACAAAGAGCGCACACGCAAATGCACACATACACTCAGACACTGGTTTAGGATGCGGACAATCTCGTTCCACTTGAAACGGAGGCCAAGCGCAATGTGAGCCTCTCGTGACGCTCCGCTGCCTTTCAATTAACGCGTGAACAGCTTCCATAGTACAGATTTTGATGAGTTTTTAGATCGCAATAAAATAAATTGTATGAAAATAATGGTATTGATTTGTTATTGGCTCTTACCTGTGCAAAATTTGGATTTGCGGTTGGTGGTGGATATTGACTCAGCGAGTTGTTGATGCTGGGACGCTTAAAGGCACTATTGTTGCTGCTGCTGGTCGGGCTGTTGCCGTTATTGTGGAACTGCTGATGTTGCTGTTGGTGATGATGACCAGTTGCCACCGATGTGGCGGCTGCAACTGCGGCTGCGACAACGTGTTGGAAATGCTGGGATGTGGATGTTGAAGTCGAGATTCCGTTGGTTTGATTTAGGAAAGTGGCAGCGTTGAAATTGAAATTACCGCCAGCGTGGCGTTGAGCTTGCAGGAATGCACTGCTTACTGTTTTTGGGTTCAACGGTTGTGGCTGAGACTGAGTTAGTTGCTGCAGTGGGGGTGTTGCAGTGTCTAGGCCAGCGGAGCCCGTTGTAGTCCAAACAGACATTTTGGGGCGACAACAACGGTCCCGGATCGTGCGTTGCTTGAGGAATACATTTTTATATACATAGATGTATCAGTATCAACAAAGCAAAAATATTCGTAGTACAGCCAAGCAGATAATAAATTAAGCAAAAACAAAAATATAGGGTGCACGGCCAGTTATTGTGTGAAAATTAAGTACAGAACGGACGGGTGCTTGACAATAAGCAAATTAAAAATGATTGCACATATCGGCAAAACGCAAACAATAGCGCGATTCTACATAATATCAAATCTATCAGAAGTTACTCGAGCTAGAGGTGAGATACAAGTTTTTAATTTCGCACACAAATTAAATTATAGATGCGCAATATTGTCACGAGCAAACAAGTCACGTGGTGACAAAGTACCACAATTACAATGTCACAATCCAAAGTATTTATTGGTAGAAGAAAAAAGTACTGATTTTTTGTCGGTAAGTTTGATTTGGTGTTACAAACTAAACTATTTTTCGTATTGGTCTTAAAAAAACTACTACCACTTTAATGAAATAAGTTTCTAAAACGTTTTGAAAGTCCAGTTTAATTTAAAGTTGTCTTAACTTTAAATATTTATTGATCTGATATTTGTAATAAATCAGCCAATGAACTAATATATAATTATATGCTTAAAAAATATTAATTTATTAATTAACCTACCACTCCCTGATAAATGTCTACAAGTATAGCCCGTACTTAAAAATATTGTCTTGTAATTTAATCAAAATTAAATGATGTGAAAAAATCGCAGTAACAGGCACAACACATTTCTGTCCATCCCTAACTGCGTACTGTCAGCAAGCAGCTGAGCAGTCGCTATCTGGCAGCACTACATAAAGTGGCAACGCCCACAACAGCAAAACAGTTATAAATTTAACATTTTCAAATTGTTATGCATATAATCAAGCTGTATCTAGTTTGTTTTCTTGTGAAAATGGTATTCAGCGAACTATTAGTTAGCTGCTAAATTTATTTGCGACAGTGACATAGTATTGCATTTAGCATTGCCAAAAATTTATGAATATTCCCATAAATCAAACACCCACACATTGTGTGTTAATTAAAATGTTGTAGCAAAAACTATTTTCTTGTCTACTAGGTAGCAGTGACACACATTTGCATTTTCTTAATTTGAATATGTGTAGCTGCTGTGGTGTTTCTTTTTTTAATTGTATTTCTTTTGGGGTAATGCAAATTTTCTTTTGCAGTCTTCCGGCGTAGGCGGTGTTCAACAAAAACAACAACAATAACGTTTGACAGTTTATTTTTATCACAGCAGTGTTTTTTCAACTAAATACATTTTTTTCTGCTATTGTTGTGGTTTTAATATCGAGCAATGCCTTGAACTTGCTCGTTTTGCATAAAATTAATTGAGGCCGATAAACAACGTACAAACAATTGTGCATGTGTATGTACGTTCAAAGAAGTGTATTTAGGTATGTGTGTAAGTAGGTGGGGGATTTTTTTTAAAAGTATGTTTGTGTACTCGTGAATTAATTTGCCAAACAAATCTTCGCCAAGAAATAAGTCATGTGCCCAATAAGCCTATTATCACAGTTGCTCTTTTTATGTGGGCAATAAGTTTAGTATCTATATATGTATTTGGCATTTATCTTTGCTGAACTTTATAAGGTAAATAAACAAACAGATATAAAAATTGTCTATTATTTGGGCTCGGTTTCTTTTTATAGCCCTGCGCCACCTTCGGGGTGTTACAAATTAACGCAAATGCCATTATCAGTTATCAGCAAATGCGACTGTTTGACGTTTTGTTTATTTAGAAATGGAAAAAAGTCATACGGTCAAATGGAATGGAATGAGGTAATTGTTGTGCACTCAACTTAGCATTTATTATGCTCGTGATTTGGACAGATCTGGTTCACATATGTACACACATACATACATATGTATGTATGTATCTGGAGCTTTGGCGCCAACACTTTCTTTGAATCGGTCTTTTTAATGACTCTACCTTGGACTGGTTGTCCGGCTGCATGCAAACAATTAAAGTCAATTGAAATCAATAAAATATAATCCTCAAATGTTCCCCAGTTGAGCTGAGTATGGACATCCGCGTTGTTTGTTTGTTTATTTTTTTTTTATATCATAAGATATATCCAAAAGTAGCGAAGTCATCGCTCATGGTTATTAATAAATCTTTTCTAAGAAACTCAACTTTCGATAACGAATGTAAAGTTATAAGTATAAATAAGTTTGCATGTACGTTTCTGTATTTGCACATATGTATATACAAACATACATATTTATGTAAATATCTGTAGATACATATCGTATTCTGTATTTGCTGGTACTTATTCATAAGTACATTAGTCCCTACAATATTTGCATTGTTCTTGTGTTTTTGTCTGGCGATGATGACGCTTGTTTCTAATTTTAATTTAAAATAAATAAAAACAAGCATTGTTGCTGTTTATAAATGGAATAACGATAATATTGTATAACTTGAACTTGGCATACTTTTGCTGATAAAATATATCTAAAATGCACTCAGTGAATCTTTTTTGTAAAATATACAATCAGATTTTTTGAACTTGCATACTGGACGATCCTATTATTTGCATTTATTTGCTTGAAATATTGTAACATCAGGAAAAGTGCGTTACGTAATACGGAATTCTCAACCATTCATATATTCTTCTCAAAATATAAAGCATTTCGCTTCGCTTCAGAGACATCGATAAGTATAATTATTATTCAAATTGGCTAAATTGACCGATTAAGGAAAACAAAATAATTGCATGTTAATATTAATTGATTTAAGGGGATTTTTAATGCTCTTAAAGATTGCTTAAGTCTATGACAATTAAAATAAAATATAAAATTGATAGATTACATAAAAAATTGCTAAGTACGTGGCATAACTAGAAGCTATGGACAAGATCTAAACATCACAATATTTTACAAATATGCTGCCATAGAACTAAACAGGTAAGTAACTAAATATATCATCGCATTGTCTGCTCGATAGAATCCATTGACTTCTTCCGCTGATTCACCTCGAAACGTTCCATTATCTTCGCGACAATCGAGGATGGTGGCATATCTGGATTGCCCGTTAGTCCGCGATATCCCAGAACGCTGGAATCGGCCAATGAGCTAGCCAGCTGCAGTCTTTTCACAAAAGCCTCTGTATCAATGCCACGGACTTGGGAGGGCTTTAGGAAGCGCTTGGGTATGCGCGACAATATGTCTTCGGAACCGATGGGTCCGAATCCCAGATTAATGAGTATAGCTTCAGGATCGGGTTTACGGGACTCCAGCAAACTGTCTACGCTGGAATATCGACTCGAGTCCGACTGCACGGAGCTGTCACGTAACAGGAGACTACTAAAGTGATGCTGCCGTTGTGCCAAGGGACTCATTTCCGGTGCCGTGCTGCACGAGTCGAAGGACTCCTCGTGACGCAAACAACGACGGGTTGGGGCGCTACTGCTGCTGTAAATGCTGCTGCTGGTGCTGCTGCAGGATATGTGACGTTGCAGCGCCAGGGCTGTGGCATTTGGAAGCGTTGGATGTTGGGAATGCAGATGTTGTGGCGCATAGAAGTGTTTGGGCAAGCGTGGCATGACAATGGCATCTTCTGCTTCTTCTTCTAGATCAGCGGCATAATCCATATCCATGTCGATATCATCGACATCGACGGCAGACTGTTGGCGTTGCAGTTTTCTTCTGCGCAGCGGCTTATTGGGCGGAAAGTGTTGCGTTGAACTGGACGAGATGCTAAGCGGAAGATTATCGCTGCTGCCGGCATGTGGCTTTGGCTGCTCAGCAGCCCCACCACTGGCCTCAAAGTTGCTGCAGCTGTGCGAGCGTTCCATGTTGCGCGTTGGGGTTCTGTTACGTATACGACGTGTGTGCCAAGAACATGCAATCTTTTCACGGTATTGTGTTACTTGGCTGACTGGCTTGGTCACGCTTACGCTTGCTCAGGTTTGTGTTGTGTGCCAGTTGATCATATTTGGCAAGAGCAAGCACAACAACCACACGACCTTCCCCTTCCCTTCCCTTGTTAGTCGATCCGTCGGTCGGTTGGTCGGTCGGGCGCTTATAGACGAGACTCGATGCGCTTCCGAGTGTTAAGTGCGCAAGTTCAAGTGCAAGTTTGTTCGGTCTGGCCAGACTTGATTTATATTTGCTGCTGTTTTTAATTATTATTGTTTTTTGGGGTTTCTTATGCGTGTTGTTGTCTCTCTTTCTTTGTGTGTGTGTGTGTTATTTTTGATTTGTTTTGCCCGTTTTCTGGAAAACACGTTTTGTGCGTTCAAGATTCCGCCTTTTTTGTTAGTACTGGCTGTTGTTGCTGAGGTTGTTTTTGTTTCATTTGTTTTTCATAAATTGCTTTATATACATACATACATATGTATGTACATTTGTATTAGTATTAGACGTTAATCAGCCGTAGCTGTAGCGCTATTGACCCCGGATTTTGTACGTTCGAGCTCTCTTTGCCACACCACTTGACATTGATGTGTAAGCGTGTGTGTTCGACTGGAGCTTTGTTTGTTTTTCTTCTTTCAATCAATATTCGACTTTTATTTTATGCACTCAATTTGTGTTGTTGTCCACTGTGCACTTGTACTGAGCTATTAGCACAATTGTCGATTTGATTGTACAGCTTTACTTATTTAATTATTTATATTTATTTATGTATTAAGTACACAAATTAATTTTCATACACTTGCTTTCTCGTTGTCCGTCGTCTACAACTGCCGCCCGCTCTCGCTTCGACGACGTGCACGACACCAAATGATCTTTAAAACTGAAACTGAAATCAAAACCAAAGCTCTCACGAAGCGAAGCTCTCATTGAAATTGGAGCTCAGAGCTCCAAGCACGGTAGCAAGAGAGAAGGTATAGCCATTTTGTTTTTTTTACTCTCACTGCTTAGGTACGTCATCTATGCTTGAGTGAGCGCGCGATAATCTTACGCGCCCTGTCCCTGAAATTGTGGGTAGATTTGATTTTTGTTATGTTCTTGTTGTTGCACTTCTGCTTCATTTTTTAATTACTTTACTTTGTTTGCACTTTCTCTTCACCAAATATGGATAAAATATCTAAAGTCTAGATATAAAATTAGCGATATTTATGAATGTAACTGGGCGGTAGATTACACGTGGCACAAAATGTTAAAATTATTGCTTTATGGTACGTCACAAAAAGAGAACATCGAATAACCAACTGACAAAATATCTTTTAGCTTCTTTGTACCTGCTCGGCCGATGCGAAGTCGTGCGAGTCGTGAGTCGCGACGAGTAAATTGTTTTGCGCGCATAACGTTTTCTTCAGCCAAGCAAGCACGCCAATTTATTAAACTTTTGATTAAAAACACACAGCCAGAGTATTTTGCGGTTAACTCTTGACCGCCCGCCTGCTCGGCCACGCCCCGTAGCTCTACAGGCTTTTTTCCATTGTTTTTGTTTACTTTGTGAGTTTCAGTTCTGCTTTGCTGTCTCTGGCACGCTCTGCTCGCCGGCCATGCTTTACTCGTAAGTTGCTTTCCTCGGGGAAAAACCTCTGTAGGTATGTACATAACTATGCATACGAGTATGTATGTATGTATGTACACACTTGTTGGGTATTTCTTCTTTTTTTTTATAAACTTGCAAACCGTTTCGGTCAGCCGGGTGAGCAGTTATTCCTTAGTTGTATCCGCACGTTGCTTTTATTTTGTTGCTAATGCATTTTTCATTGTGCATATTTGTTTAATTTAATTTCGTACATATTTGGTTGTGTGTGCCTTTTTAAGCACTGTCTCTCTGTCCTTCTCACCGTGTTTTTCAAAGTGTTTGAATTGTTTGAATGTTTAAATCAACTTTTTGGCATCACAACAATGAACATTTTAATATCTGCTTAGTTTAGATTCCAAAGAACCTTGAGTTATTCTCGCACCACGCACGAATGCTGTCCATTAGAAAATTAAATATTGATTTTATTGGCGTGAAGATTACGACAAATCTAACGAAATTAGCAAGCATTCTTTTAAAAGCAAGATCATTATAAATGTAGTCGACGATGGGATATTCTTTGCCACTTTGGAATTTTTGAAACCTGAGAAAGTGAACAGGAATTTTGTAATAAAATATAACAAGAAGAGCTGACTCACTTATATCCAGCACCATCGCGCCTTTTCTTATTTCAACTAAAATAAACTTTGTTTCACGAAGCGTTCTTAAACTTGATAAACTTATAAGTAGTACATATCAAATTTTTGTTATTTATATATAAATTATATTTTATTATATTTTGGTATAAAATAAAAAAAAATATATAAAAAATGATAAAGATATTTAACAAAAAAAATATTATTATGAGAGCTATAAAATAAGGATAATATAAACGGTATGTAATAATAATTATTTCTAATAAAAAATGTCAAATGATTTTTTACATTTTATTGTGAACTCTTTTCTTACTACACATGTTTGAATAAATAAACTGATAAAACAATGAATCCTATTATATGCTTCCGAGAAATGGTTATGGACTATAGCTTTTATAGCCAATTTGCATAAAAAATGAACGTATTGAAATAAGTATTGTTGTCGCTACTGAACAACACCTTCTACCGATAATTCGTTCTGTCCAGTAACTAACATTAAATAATTTTAATAACACGTATACAAATTCCTTTACTCACTTAATAGGTTTATAGGTTAATTGTTTTTAATAGGTTCGAAAACTAGGTTTTGTTTTTACAAAATTGAGTGGTTGAAAAGTGTTAATGATTCGATTTGAAGCATTGGTTTACAAACATATGTCAAACGAAATGTCTTTCCTGATTTTCGCACAATAATGAATTGCCCCCCTTAAGAGCTCTTTTGAAGTTCTTATTGTTCATGCTCTCGTTTGGTTGTAAAAAAAAGCTTATTTGATATCAATCAAAGTTCAATGTAAATAACTCTGGAATTTCCGGTTCTGTTTATCGGCATGCTACAGCGCTCTCGTATCTAAGAGTACGAATTCTGTGAATTTCTCAGCGATACTCGACACACTGTGTAGAATTGTTTGGACAAAAAAGCTCTCTCTTTTGTAAACAAACGATCAAATATCAAGCTTTAGCGTAGTTTTTTCAAATTGTATTGTACAAGTATACCGAGATATAGTAAGTACAGTGACGCTTGATGAAAGCGAAGATATAAATCTGATGTATCAATAGGTTTAAGAGGTCTTACATTATGGGGGCAGTCAACTGCATACCTCTGTGTAGGTTTTAGCTCTCTTTTTTTTATATTTTAGTTAAGTTTGCTGGCAACCACAAAGTACATATTTCATAATTTGACACGTTTTTGCCACTCACTTGAACGCTAGACTAGCGTTCCGTCAATCATGAGCGTAACTTGATGCCGTCATGGCAACAAAAGCCGTATGTATGATTTTGTCAACTGTTAATAAATTTTGTAAATGTCAGTCTTTTGATTGTTTATCATTAATACGGGTACATATACATATGTATATATCAAATATTGCGCACAGCAAGTGACACTTTCGACTTGATGGCGATGTGAAGATGAGAGCAAATTTAAACAGGCCTTGAAATTTAATTTTTGATAACAAGTTGATGACAAAGCCATAAGGCCTGTTGACTTTTCGATCGTATTTTATAAAACAAGGCATTTAATTGGTCGTTAATTTTACATTCATTCCCTCATTCACTTACTTGTAAAATTTCTAAGTAAATTCATAAATACATTCATTATTATTGATAATGCCACAATCAAGATAGGTAATTAACAATGCATTCACAGACAAGGGCCGCTTTTGCATTTATGTGAGTAAGTATGTAAAACTAGTTGGATCAAATCAAACTTAATTAATGTTCCCCTGGGGAGTGCCCCTCCCTAACAGTTGTTCAAACATACCGTGACTTGTTTTTAATTTTTAAACAGAAAAAGCCCTGGGGCCGCATTGGGAAAGTCCACAGAGACATGCAAAGTAAAGTTTGGTCTAAAAGTCGATGCCTTCAGGTTAGACTATAGTAATAATAATAATACTTAATAGCTACACAGTAGAGTGCATCGAATGAATTGCACAAATGCTACACTCACTTTTTTTTTTGCTATAATTAATCATTTTACTCAACGAATAGACAAAAATCAACAGGTAACTATTTTTGTATGACACTTCTCTTATTTAATATACATTTATATTTTATTTTTACTTCCAAAAATAAACAAAATTACATTCGAAAGTATTTATAGTATTATAACCAAAAGTCAACCCTTAAATGATCAAATGAACTATGACTATATGCTATAACATCTCTAAGAACTAAATATTTTGTTTCATTGCGATTATTTGTTATATTTTTATGGATAAGACTGCGCTTCTAACAATAATTTGTATTTAGTCTTTTCTACTGGAAACTAGTGTTTAAAGTTTTTGGAATTTTATATGAACCCTAGGCTCGTATGCGATATGTTGTAGGATTCTTGCCATTCCGCTCCCTTATTGTGCTTTTATAATATAAATGGAAATTTATCATATTCTAACGTTTATTTGGATTGAAATAACAGATTAGGAATATCCAACTAGAAGATTATTTTTATCAGTGTGGTAAGTAATATTGCGCTGCCCACTGTTATCATAGATTGGAGAGAATATTACGCCTTGTGCGATTTGTACGATATAAAGCACGTTATGTGAATGATATTTGAATAGTGCAATTACATACATATGTGCCGTAGAAAATAATTACAAAGCATCTGGCCAGATGGGTTATTATAAGGCTGGGCAAAAGGCTCCAAATCTGATGGATTGCGTGCCGTATTGTCTGAAACGCTACTAATTAAGTGCCAACTAAACAAAATCACGCGAAATGAAGCCAAATAATGATCATTTTATAGAATTGACATTTGCACAGCCTCATCATCATGGCTTGTGCTCATCGAATGCTATTGCTATTGACATAGTAGTTGCCCTTTCCAATTGAGCTTAATTGATTTCAAATCCAAGTTATAAATATTTACCAAAGCCAATCAAACGAAAGTGTTGCGACACGCATAAATTACAATAACAATTAACAGCATATTGTGCCTTTTTACAGTCATATGTCAAGCTATTAGAATTACAAATTGCAATTATCATTTATCATTTAAAACTCACCTGTATTCTGCACGACTGCAGACTAGATAGTCTGAATGGTTGGCTATGCACGAAGTATTACGTTTAGGTAGCAACAATTTTAAGCCCCACTTCCTGTTTACAAGTATATTGCTGGGAATATAAGAATACAGAGTGGGGCAGATCGAAAACTTATAAAACGATTTAATGATTAGCTTGGAAAGTGCAACTGCGCTTTCTATACCGCTTTCTAAATGCAAACTTCTTGAGAACTAGTTTCCAATTGTTGTTCAAATTCTTTCACTCAAGAGACCCAGACACGACCGGCGGCACTGAACGCACTCACTTGACTACTGGGCCCGGTTTTGAATTTTTCTCTGGGCCTTGGCCATCAACATATAAAAAAAAAATAGGCACTCGAACATTTGTATATATGTATGTACATTCCTATGTACATGTACATGTACTTTGTGTATGAATATGTAAGCGTGTGCCCAAGTTTGTAGCAACTGTTGTTATCAGCACTGACATTAGAGATCATCGGGGTTTTATCTTTACTGGCGGCGGCGCACTCATCATCATCTAACAATAGTGAGCCGGTTTGTTTATACTTGTATATATTTTTTTTTTAGCACAAGCGTAAATATTTGCACATTTTATTTTTTAAGTATGAATCTTTGAAAAACCAACGTCTGAAATGGCGCTTCAGTTACAACAAAAAGCACAATGAACAACAACAGCCAAGAAAAACTGCTCGACAGCCGAGTGACGAGGCGACGAGGCGATGATGATGAGAAGATGACGCCGTTAAAACCGCCACACGACCAACACAACCACACACGTTTGAAAGTCTACAACGACTGTGAATGAATGAAAATGCGCAGCATAGACGAGACGCCGAAAAGTGCATTGAGAGATATGGAACCTCGTTTCCATAGCAACGGCAAACTGGTATCATAAAGCTGCAGTCCATATTTATTTATTTTTGTTGCACTCTTTATTTGAGACCAATTAAACAGGACATGCGTTTTTAATGAGGAGCAATATTTAAGGGAAAATTTTGGAATTTATAATTTATTCTGGAGTATTCGTTGTTGTAAAACAAAAACAAAAGTAATCACAAAAGTAAGATACATAACTAATGTCTTGTAGCATACTTTTAGGCGATGCTTAGAGAGGCAGCACATTATTTTTCGAATCTCTATCTAGATATAGATAGAATGGCTGCTTTATAATTGTAAACAGTTGTGTACACCCCCACAATCTCCAGATATTAATCCTATCGAATATATTTGGAATTTGTTGGAGACGCAAGCATAATATTACGCTAAAGACAATACTGTCGAATGAGTGGGAAAACATTTCTGGAAACGACACCCAAGGCTTAGTAAGAAGTATGCGTCGACGCTTACAAGCTGTAATTGCTGCAAAGGGAGGTCCCACTAAATACTAATATAACTAAAATATAACAAGCTAAGCTAAGATTCGCCGACTGTACGTAAACTTTTTTGGAGTGATTTTTTTTTTTTTTTTTGGTTTTCAATGATATTTCCATGTGTTTGATACGATATGTAAGAAAAAAACGACTGTTATGTTCATAAATATATAACCAATAATAATCTGAAGATTTTGGAATTATTCTTGTTCGCAACCCTACTAGTTTCATCGAATATTCTTTAAAATACAAAGTGTACTTAAACTTTTTTTGCACACTGTATTTAAATACAGATAGGCACTAGTGTGGGAAGTCATTCTTGTTTACCTTGCCAAATGTAGGATATGTGAATTTTCTAGTAAAAAATATGTATTTACATAAATATGTTATTAAGACGGCTAATTAATGCTGTCGATATAGGGTGCTTGAAATTTTTAAAAAACACTTGCACGCTTCGACTCCAAAATCGCGTTAAAGGAAAGCAGCTTAAAGTATGACTTCATCGATATTTAGGAATAATTCAAAATAAACAAATGCGCTGCAATCGGAATCATTAGTATTGATTGCTTTACAGTATTTGTATTATTTACCCTTATCTCCACTGTGTCTTACTTGAACTTTGAACTTTGTTCATCAATGGTCATGGGCTGCAATCTATATACTGTTTCTGTACTTTGTTATATTTTTAACGTTTTTAACAGCTGGTCATTGATGTTCACCCTTCGTAATCTACGGAGTGATGCAAAATCATGAGATATGAAGACGTGTTTTTCGACTATTTAATTTAACGTAATTGTGTATTTATCAATGTATGCATTCAAATTTTTGAATGTATCAGATTTCTATCCATAATCAAAACTGTCAGGAAATAAATTTTTTATTTAATATTTGTGCATTATATTTTAGCATCGCGCCTACACAATTTTTGTTGCTGCTTTTGCTCTCACCTATTTGTATAAGAGCTTAACATTGCTTGGCAAACAACTCTAAACACAATTTCCGCACACTTGTGCCTTTTGTTGTTTGTACTTTGCGCTTGCGCAATTTTTTGTTTGCTTATTAACCCTAGAAAACTCGTCTTGTATATTCAAACATGCTCTTGCAGTTCCACAGATGCATATAACTTGTTGAGGATTTAGTGGCTGGGGTGGTTTGATATATTAACGAAATACGAAATATAAGAACATTGAATTGAATATGAATATATTAATTTGCACTATGCGCTATGTTGGTCCAAGAAATTATCCATATTCAGCATATGGAGCTATTTTTTGAATACTTCCGCAGTATACAAAGAAACAAAAACTTATTGAATCGGTTCAGAAGCAATTCATACTTTTCGCTCCCTGGATTAAACAGGGATCCCAACCTTCGCTTGCCAACTTATTTAAGGAGGTTTTTGCTTTTAAATCTTCCATCGTTTGCAATCCGAAGCAGTGTCCTCAGGGCCGACTCCACTTTTTTTTATTCTTTTAGACCAAAAAATAATTCATTTCCATTGGTCTTGTCAAAATTCACAACTAACTAAGCTTTGGACAATCGTTTTTCTAAGTACGATTTGGACAAAGAAACAAATAATTGCAGATTTTACTAAAGAATAAAATCTATGTTATATTATGAATTAAAACATGCTCAAAGAATATACTAATTTGTATTCAAATTGGATTGTATTTAGGTTCATAAATATATTATTAATTTTGGGGATTTAATTGTATTAACATATTGAAATTGTGTTGAACTCGTCATCGGGATATTAGTTCGCGTACGAGTATTGATGTGAAAATGAAAACACCGAAGTTCTGTTCTTTATTTTAATTGTTTGTATTTATTATTATTGTATTGTACAGGTCTTTATATATTTATCGAGTTACACACATTGTTCATATCATATGAATTTGAATTGTTCGTTTTGTATCGGCCTTTCCTTTTCTATTTTTTGCGGAATCTTTTCCAACAGTAACAAAAATAAATTATTTGCTTTTTAAATATATATATAAAATGAGCATAAAACTTACAATTTAAAACTAAATTTAAAGATTTATAACATGTCGGCAAGATTTTCGATTCTCCTTTTTTGTGGTTTTTGTTCTTCTTGTTGTCATTAATATAGTATTTATCAAAGTTGTGTACTTTAAATTAAAACTAAAAACAAATTGTGATGTACAACACCGAAAATGTCAAAAAAAAAGTAAAAGAGAAGATGGAATTGTGGAATAGAAGCGCAAACTACAATTACGAGTATGTATAGAAAGGTTAGAGTGAATAGCTAAGAATTGTTGTTGCTTTAAAAAATAATGAAATTGAACTTGAATTTGAGCAAGTTGTGCGGAGTATTTGTATTTGTATTTGGAATCAAAGTTTCGAAGCAAATATATGCAAGAAGGTTTTGCTTGAATTCTACTAAATTGTATACAAAACATTTGTTATTTAAGTTAAGCTGTTAATTATGGCAAACAAAGATTGTAAACGCACTAAATTATACATACACAAGTACATACATATGTATTGTATAATGTCATATGTAATTTGTATATATTTATATATGTATATATTTATATATCATATTTGTTGTTCGTTCATCGTTTCGTGGTGCTGCAAAGTTTTGTTTTGTTTTGTTTCTTTCTTTCTATAATTAAAATGGATTTTATTTATTAGTTTTGAATCAACTTGGTTGCTGTTGATTATTTTGTAGATTTTTTTGTTTTACAACAAATGCACACAATTTTTGAAATGTTTTTGTTTTTGCTTTTTGTTTTGTATCCTTCCTTTTAACCTAATTACAGCTTAATTACGATTTGTTTTTATTATCAACATGTTTTATTGCAGAGCGTACTTAACTATATGCATATGTAAGATATATATTAACGAGTAGTTTTTAAAGAGATTACCACTTTTTTGTTTGTTTTGTTTCGTTTTTTGTTTTTTAGGCATTGGAAGCAAACATCGACAAAATCAACTTGTTGCCTGTCTTTTGTTGTTTGTGTTAGCAGAGATCCTAATTTTATTTCAACATTATCCAAACCAATTGTCTTTATCGGAATAACAGTAGAGCTTAGTGGGCTAGGGGGAAGCGGGTTAGGGCTAAGTAGGAGTATTTTTCTCTTCAAAAGTTCAGTAAACATAGAACAAACGATTTGTGTGTGTGTGTTTTTTTTTTGTGTTTTACATGTAATTTTACAATTTATATTCAACAAATAAACGCTTAAGCCGAATTACATACAAGATACGATACATTTAAATAGAAAAAAACGCTACTGCATGCAAATGATACAGACATATAGTATATATATATATATATATATATATATATATATATATAGGCATATGTAGGTACATACAAGAGGGCTACTAATTTCGATAAAGAAATTAGCATTTGCTAATTGCATTTGTTTTTAGTTTGTTTGTTTTTTTTTTAAGCTTTTCAGTTTGTTTTCGCCTAATGCATGTGCATCTGTTTCAGGACCTAAGGTCTAGCATAGCAGGAAGCGGACTTATGTTTTACTGGACAGGCGTTTTTATCATCATTCTAAACAAGGTTGGGGTAAGTACAAGTATATAAAAGTTATTAATCATATAATGCTTAAACATATTACAATATTACAGTAAACATAGCGAGAATTTAAATTTTAATAAAATTTATGTAATCTCATTGTTGCTAAATAACTAAACAAAACATTTCTGTTGTATTTTTTTGTCATTTCTCCTCCATATTCATCATCTCGTTGTTGTTGTTGTTGTTTAAGTGTTTTTGTTCCGAATATCTTTTACACAATTATCAAAATTACAAATAACTTAAAGTTTATTTAAAATGGCTTATTGAAACAACTTGTTTTTAGCAAAATTGTGTCCACATTTTGTGTGTGTGTATGTGTGTGTGTGTGTGTGTGTGTGTGTGTCTGTTGTTGGCCCTATTGATTGGGCAGCTCCGTCAGCGTAACATCATACAAATCGTCCTCGATCTGCTGCACTTCCAGCAGGAAGATGTCCTCGTTGCAGTAGAAGGATATCATATCATCATCAATTTTCGCAGTAATCCTGCAAAGATAATGACGAAAGGGGCGACGCATTAGCACTAATTTGAAAAGGTTATTAATAGGTCAGTCGATCAGTAGATCAGTAGATCAGTACATCAGTAGACCTTTTCTACATAGCACCCATGCAATGTTAGCACACAAAATACATATATAAAACTTTAACGACTTAATCGGTGATTAGTTTTATTTTTGTTGTTGCTTGGCAACCGGCAACCTTTGCTAAGACTAATGAGTGAGGGGGGCATTCGGGAGTTTTAGATAGGATTCAATGCTGTGTTGTGTGCAGTGTTGAGGTGCAGCTACGCGCGCGCGTGTGTGTGTGTGTGTGTGTGTGTGTGTGTGAGGGTCTGTCTCTGTGTGTGTGTAGCACTTCATACGGCCTTGGTTACTTACCCTTTCTTATTTGTGCGATAAATGTTATTTATGCTCGTTGTTGAGATTTTGTATTTGTTTTCAATCTGCAATTGAGAAACGAGAGAAATATGATGTTTTGTCTTTTGTTGTTGTATCTGTTGTTTCTTGTTGTTGTAGTGTATCAATTTGTATTGTATATTTAAAAAAAAACTAAAATATTTCTCTTATAACTCGTGTGTAATTTTGTTCATTTTTTAGCCAATTTCTTTTTATTTTTTTGTGTTTTTGAAAATAATATGTGTTTTTGCATTCATTTTTGCGACAATTGTTTCCAAATAGTAGCAAACAATCCAGCTTTTAGAACAGATTGAATCACATTTTAAAGTAAAATGCTTAGCCGGTTTCCACTAATCTTCTCTAATATCCTAGATTTGTTTGTAGAGTTATTTCGCAATCTAATCGATTGGAGTCACTTTAATTTAGCTTAAATATTAAATTAATTAAACTTAAAAATTCAAAGCTAAATTGAGGCTTAGAAAGGCGCGAATCTTTTTCTAAACTATATATTTTTGACTTACAAATTTATTTAACCAATGGAAATATTAAATGGCATTTAAATAGTGAATAGACTGTCCAGCAAATACTCAAAGTATTTAGCAATTTCATTATAAGTTTTCCCTTTTTTGCCACAACAGTATATACTTTTTCAAATGAGTTTCCAACCCTGTCCATTTATTTAATTGCATAAGAACGAAGTGGAACTCATCTGAAATTCTGTAGTGGTCCTAATTTTTATACATTCCTCGCTAATTTCGAATATAACGGTGTTTCTTAAATATAGTCCCATGTCTATCTCCAATATTTGTCAGAAAAAAATAATTTAAAATTTCGCTTGCCCATATTTTTAAAATAAGTTATGAAAACTAAGTTGAACTCTCAAAGTTTGACTTTTGTAGATTGAATTATTATCCCACTATCATCGAAATTTAGATCTCGCTATAACATTCTGCCATTTCTCTTATTTAAGATGCAAGAGAACTGAACATAAATAAATTGTTGGTTTTTTTTTTTGTGCCGTGTGGTGTGTTAAGTGTAGTTGATTATAATTTGATAGATTTGAAACCATTATTCAGCTGATGATTACTTTTATACCAAACGCGAAACACAGAAAGCGCATTAGGAGTGGATTTTTGATTTTGTTTGGCTTGGTATTGATGAGACTTGGCGACCTATGACATTGAGAGTGACATTGACATTTACATTTACATTGACATTGACATTAACATTAGTTTCAACTACATACGATTACAATTTTCATTGGATGGTACAATTGGTGGCTTTGTACCCGAATTTGGATATTATGCTGTGTGTTTTGTACGAGTATGTGTGGTTGTAGAGATTAATGTGATTATACTTATATTATATGGAATTGGTTTAAAATGTTGACGGCATTTTAGTTCATATGCATTAACTTTAGTCGATTTATTGATTATTACGTATCTTCAACTCCTTTGTTTGTTTATTTTTGGTTTGTTTTTAGAACGTTTAGCATTTTCTTTTTCTTTTTTTTGTAATTATTAATTTGAACATTTTGGGTAATAACAGAAACGATTTTTTGTGGTTGTTGCTGTTGTTTTATCAAACCAATTAAGACCAAAATGAACAAAATTACAGCAGTTATTAGAGTTTTAAATAATATGGAGATATAGTTGTAGTTGTAGTTGGGTTATAAATGCTGTGCAGACTTACCGCATTAAGCAGGCCAATTGTGGTGGGCGGCACCACATGCAGGGGCGTGTAGACCTCTTCGTTCTCCTGTCGCACGTACAACATCACACGCTCCGTGGTCGGCGGCGTCATGCGTCCCCGCTTTATGGGTGGTCCGAAGTCGGCCATGGGTGCAGTCGCTAACATGCTCTGATCCAGTATGTGATCCTTTTTGTCACTGTACCATGAAGAACAACAAATGGAGCGAAAGAGAGACAGTTAAATACAATTTCACAGCAAAAGTGCAGCCGCAGGATTCTTAAAGGATAACGATTTTTACAATACTCACGTCTGCATGTCGGGCGGAAAGTGATTGTGAAATTTCAGCGTCGGCGTGGCCACCTTCTGGCCGTGCAGCAGGAATGGCGAAGCGCCCTTCAGGTCCGGTGAGTCAGTCTCATGGCCATAGAAGGTCTGCAATGATAATTATGTTAATAATGTAAAAGAAATTACATATATCTAGAATTTCTTTAGTTTCTCTATTAGAAAACATATTTGCTTTCATATTCAAACTTGCGGTTTCAATCTCATTGCTATCTTTGGTGATAAGCTTTTTCGCTTAAAATAAATTATACCTAACACTTAGTTTATTTGAAATCTTAAAGGAAAAACGATAAGCTGATAATCACAGGTTTATCATATAAGAGTTAAAAGTCCAAAGCCGATAAATAAGTAGAACCAACCTATTCTTTCAATGAATGCAATATCTGCGAAAGTATAGTACAGTTATCCCTGAATCATTTCTATAAGAATCTAGAAATTCTAGAATCAGCTGGAGAAGTCCAATCGATCAAGATATGTTTGAATACTCGTCTGATTTTCGAAAACGGTCGAGCACACATTGAACAAGCTTGATATATAACCTTTTTTACTCCAAGTTTGTTTTAATTTTGATAAATAATGATAATATTTGTTGAAAAAAACACTTTTACAATTTGCAATAAAAATTTGGTAAATGAGGGCAAGGGGAAATTATTCAAAGGAAAATTGAGAAACATTACAAAAACCAAAGCAATTTAAGCACTAAAGCTGAGAAAGAAATAATATCCAAATGTTTTGAGGTTTCTAAATGCAGTTCATTTTTTCAATATTAATTTATTATTATTTAAGAAACGGTTGGGTTGGGTAAACTCTCCTTTAATATGTAATATAATTTGGTAAATGTATTTTTAATTTTGTTGGCTATTTTGTTTAAATACATAAAAAACTTCCAAGATAGCAGAATATTGAGCGTAAAACATTTATAAATAATGTTTGCCATTCATTCTACTACAAGTATATTAAATGACATCTATAGAAATCTAGATATTATTTGAATCAACTGCCCAGAGATATAATATTTTCTTTGTTCTGTTTTATTTGATTAATATTGAAAATGTTAATTGACTACTTACCTTATCCATGTCGTCGGCGGGTGAGAAGAGTACCGGTGGCTTGATTAGATCCTGCATGCCGTAGAATTCTGAGCGATCTGTGACCGGATGATATAGCTCATCCAGTTTCTTGCGACCCGTCGCTGTCATTTTGCGTTTAGCCGCACGACGTTCCTCGTCGCGTGTCTTGCGCTCGGCGCCCTGCAAGATGCAAGATTTAAGATGTTCGATGGTTAGGGTTTCGTTTTTTGATTTTTGATTTTTATTTATAATTGCGGGTTAAGCCTCTAAGTGGGTTCATTGTGAGAGATTTTGTGATTAAGCGATTACGAAAGTGACCAGCCCGTTTGCTGCACAGGTGTGTGGCGCGCTCTTTGTGGATGTGAGTGAGCGTGTAATTAGCAATCAATCAAATACATGGATGCCACCTTTTTGATATTTCTGCATCGTCGTTTTTTTCCTACTTATTAATTAAATTCGTGTATGGCTTGGAGTGCCATAAGCTGTTGCTGCAGCAATGTTGTTGCAATGCAAAAACAAGTTTGCCGCCTGGGGAACTCTTTGTGTAGACTCGAGCTCGAGTACAAGCGTGGTTGTCGCTGCGCTTATTAACACAACAACAACAACAATAACAACAACACCAACAACAACAAGCATACCAACAACAGTAGTATGTTGTTGCTTTTGGTGAATTTCATTGCATTCAAGCAATTGGCAAAATGGTTTGCAGACCACCGTTAGGGTCAGTTGAAGAAGAAAAAAAAAAAAAAAAATTGCCGCAACAACAGCGTCGATATGAAAGCCAAAAAAATTATTATAAAATACTTAGATGCAACATAAATATGCATACATAATAAATAATGCGGCGGCGGCGGCGCCCCAAACCCCAAAGTCTGAGCCTATCTGCCTGCCTGCCAGCGTTCCAGGCAGCCAGCGTGCCGGCCTCCCGATTCATTGCTCGTAGTGGGCTTTGATTACTGGCCGTTGTTGTCTTGGCCAGGCCTACTCATACATATATAGTATGTAGTATAATATATAGTCTGTGGCTACTTTTGCAGCAATGATTGCTGGTTTGCGTGTAAGCAGATTCTCTCCTGCACTGCAGCATGCACTTTGCATTTGTAATTAAAAATCAGCAATTGAGCGGCTGCTGGCGACGCACACATTGCGACCATCGTTTGGACGCATCTGCGGACAGGAAGTGAGATTCTCTGCTTAACTGATGGCTTCGCAATCTTCTACGCCATTTTCATGGTAGCCATATTATGCAAGGATGTACGAGCATGCGTTTCCCTGCGCCCCCCCACTCCGTCCCTCTGCCGCTCCCTCACTTACTCAGAAACGGAGTTCAGGTCTGCCTGCCTGCCTGCCCGCCTCTCTGGTGTGTGCTTAGCGCTTATCACAACAATATTGCCTAGAGCTATGCATTGAACATGTCTGTATGTAAGTCCACATTTATGTATGTACATACATGTATGTATGTATGTATGTATATATTGTTGTTGTGTGTGCATGTAAATAACTGTATTTTATTACTTTTATTTTATCTTGGCAATAATATCGCCAAAGTTTGACTTGAGCTGAGCTGAGCTGAGTTGCTTTTGCTTGGCATTTTCTTTCCTTTTTTTTCTTCTTCTTTGATTTGGTCTGTTCATGTACATATGTACATATGTACAGATGAATGTATGCACATACATATTTATGTATGTATGGCGGTCAATGCGCTCCATTGGACGCAGTCGCCGTCGCCGTCGCTATCGCCATTGATGCGTTGCACGGCTCGGTTGTTATGCGCGTTAATCGATTTCAGAGTATGCCGATTTGCCGTTTCTACGAAATTGCCTGTGTGGGTTTTTTTTATTCCCCACCAAGATGCGTTTCCATATCGCCGCAAAGTGGCGCAACAAAATTAAGCTGTAGTTTCCCTATTAAAGCCATCCACACATTTTACTGCACAGGCTTTGACTAATGGAAAATTCCATGGATATGCAAAAGCATATATACGAGTATGTCTATATACAAGTAGATACTTAGTCGTTGAATTGCCCAATTCTGATAATGCACTGCAATTCCTCCATTGAATATTATCTAATATTGCACTTTCATTTGCATGCCAAATATATAGTATGTATAGTATTGAATACATATTGTTGATACAAATCATATGGCTCTTTAAATTTTAGATTCTCTAGTGATGTGTCGTTAATACGAGCACTGCTAGCAAATATGGAAATTGTAATCAAATATAAATTTAATTGCGACTATGGGAATCTGTTATATTTGTAAATATCTGTAAATATTTGTAATACATTTGCATATTTCTATTGTTACTGCCAAGATCTGCCAAGGTTCTTTTTTGAGCTTTAATTATAAAAAAGAACAGGTCTTTGCATTTTGAACCGTTTAATATTTGTGATCCGCGTCTGCCCCGGACCATGCAGTTAGATTCAACTCAATTGCTCCTTGGCACAAAGTAGCATTGTTTTTCCCTTAAGAATCCAATAAACCCACTACATTTTATTTACACCTATACTCTACACCCTCAAATACACATAGATACATGGTAAACCTATCCTATAGACGTCCTCTTCTCCTCTGCGACGTTCTTAGATTTGAATTAAAATAAATAATGCTCGTACTCTGAGAAAAATTAAAAGGAGAAACCGAACGATTATAAAATTATCGCAACAAAGCTATAATCGATATGGTGTACAAATATTTTCAATTATATCAATATTTTGTTAATACATTTATCTATATTTGATGGACTTTAAGAAATATTCATTTAGCTAGGGGTCACTATAACAGTTTTTCCGTAAGGAACCGTGATTATAAAGCATGTTCTTACTTAGCTTTTTCGAAGCAATGAATAAAATCTAAGTCTATTCAGATATTTATTAACTGTCCGATTGGAGAAAAATAATTCAATTGTATGTTAATGATTGCAGACGCTAAATTAATGAGCATTTCTCAAAGTTTATTAGAGCCTTTAGGGGAGTCTGTCCCAAGTATTGGACTCAATAATCATACAATTGTAAAAGTTCAAATGCAAGGCACATTCTAGGTCAACTGTTTATTGTTTTCGCGTATACCCTCGGGTTCAATTAGCCCATAATTTGTGCACAGAGGTGCCAAATGGCTCTGCAACTGTATATCTACATGCGTATAAGTACTGTTCGTATATTTATTGTAAGTGGTTGGTTGGCAGTGAAATCCCATAAAAATGTAGGTACGCGAAATTTAATTGATACATTTACCGATAAACATACGTTGTGGTGCGGTTTCAATTCCAGGACGCCCCCCGCATACTCTCCTCAGGTTGTATGAAAAAAGGTTGGCCCAAAAGTGAAATATAAACCCCGAATTTCGAAACAAACGTATGTACATACTTGCAATAAAACGCAGGCGAATGCATATCTGTCTGTCTGTCTGGCTGTCTGTCTGTCCGCATATATATGTGTGTTGGTGTGTGTGTGTGTGTTGAGGATGCAGAAGTGTAATGATATGAGAAAATTAAATTGGAAATCCACGAAATGATTTATTAATAAACCCCATCAAGCGAAAAAGTGAAGGGTTCGCATAAAATACTATACAATGACCGAAAAGTAAAAGACAAGGAAGGCAGGCTGGCTGGCAGTCAGGCAGCCAGGCCAAAACAAGGGCATGGCCAACAGCACAACAATAAGAAGAAGAGCAGCAGCGAAAGGATGTGCCGCACAGGTTTGGTTGGCTTGTCAGTGTGTGCGTGGCCATTTACTTTTGCACGCGTTACGCTTTCCACTAAAGGCTCAGTCACTGACTGACTGCCTGTCTCAGAGACAGACGGACGGACGAACGGACGGACGGACAGAGGACAGCAGCGAGGCATGCAACGTCAGTGGCCTCAATTCGATAAAAGCGGCAAAGGCAACAAGTGAGTCCAACAGCCGGCGGGCACAAGCATACACACACACACACACATTTATATATATATATAGCAATATATATCTGTGTGTATCTGAATGCGACTTCACTTGACTTTGACTGCAGCAGCACGTACGCCTCTTTGTGCAGCTTTTAGTTAGCTCATCAACCTGTTGCACGTGGCCTGCATGCATGTGAGTGTGTCAGCCAGCGTGCGTGTGTGTGTGTGCGTGTGCGCGTGTGTGTGTTGGTGCGTAATTATGTAGATGGTAGCTGTTGGGAAATAAAATCACTTACCTTATCGCAGAATACTTTGATCTGACAGTAGCCACGATGAAAGACTGTGGCCTCTCTGGGATCCTCAAATGTATCGATTTGTACGTGCAACGGCAGACCCTGCAACATAAAATTTGCAACAAAATGTAAGAAAATATGGCGCAAAAGCGAATTCAAATTGCCAATCAGCCATTCAGCCATTCCGCCATTCCGCCACTCAGCCAGCAAGCCAGCAATTCAGACCGAGTCCGGGCTACAATTAGATGTTGTCATTTGGTCAGGTTGGTGTTAAGCTGCCAACATCCGTTGCCAGTATGTAGTTGTTGTTGTTGGTGTTGTTGCAAGTGCATAATTTGATATTTGCTGACAATTTGCATGCTTCCCGCTCCGAGTGTGCCAGCTAGGCAGTCTCCACTGTAAGCGCTGCCTGCCCACAGTTGTCTGTTCAACTTGCTCTGATTCTGATTCTCTGCGAGTGCTGCCTCTCTTTTTTTTGTATCTTTTTATTTGTTTTTTCCGCTTTTAATGAAAACACAGTCCGTGTGTTTCTGTCAATGAAATATCAAGTTAATGTACGCATTACAACTTATGGAGGACGCACAATCCGCTTTAAGCAGCAACAGCAAGACAGCCTCTTCCTACGGATAATGCAAGAAATGTAGCAAAGATTCTGATTCTGCCTTTCTGACCATTGGCTTTCCTTCTTCCTTCTTTCTTTTTTCCCCCTCTCCTTTTTGCTTTTTATTTTTTCTTACTGTTTTAAAGCAGACATGGGCGCTGGCTAGCTGACTAGCTGGCTTGGCGTGGATTGGCTTGGCTTGGCTAGTCGGGGCTGGTTGGCAATTTGGTTTCCTATTAACAAGTATGGCTGACATGGCATTATTTATTATTAATGGCACTACACTCAGAAGAAAACATTCTAAAGATTTTATGAAATCGCCTTAAAATTTTAAGTGTCTGTCAATTAATAAAATCACATTATATTTCGTAGAAGTATGTATGTTTCTTATAGGAATCAAAGCTCTTGCTTTTCTTTAAATTAGTGATTAGGTCTTAATTATTCGAAGCATACATATGTATATGCTTTAAAAACAAATAACTTGAGACTTTAAATATATACCATATATATAAAGGTTAATTCAAATAAGAAGCGAAGACTGAAAAAATATTGAATGTAAATTCAAAATGCAAAAACTTATTATTTTTTAAAATAAGTTCCTTCAATTTGAACAAAACGAACGTTTTTTTAAACGCTTTTAAATAACATTCACATTATTTTTAGAGCGATTTCGACCTCTTTTCTGAGTGTGTGTAAATATATTAATTAAAGGCAAATTTTCCAGTTAGATAGCGGGAGGGAGAACTTACCTTCACACCCTTTTGACTGCTGAAATCCGTGCTCAGACATTGAACTGCAATGTTGATCTGTAATGATTATAAAAAAAGAAGTCGTTCAACATATACGAGTGATTAATAAAATGCAAGCAAAAAACACGACAAATGTGAAACAATTATGGCCATTTGAAAAAGAAAACAACAGCAACAAAACAATGAAGAAAAAAACCACTAAAAAGTGCAAATAAAAAAGCCAGTGAACTAAACAAGCGAATGCATTATTAGAAGCAATTGTTTTCTCTCTATTAAGTCGATGTCCTCTTTATGCCCACGACAGTTTAAAAAATTCCAACGCACATACAAACAAAAAAGTATATATACTCTATATGTATGTATGTATGTATGTATGTCTGTAGCGGGCCAGTTGCGACAAAGACAATAACAATAATAACAAGGCAATACACAGAGGACCAAAACGCGCTCCAAGCTCAGTTGACTTTGTATCCAATTCATTTTTAGTTCGATTCAGTTGTGTGTTTAAAGGCATTTTAAGCATGTCAAGCCACAGCCCCAACAGATCGGGCCAGATGCGACGATCAGCGGGCGGACAAACAGACGGACCAAAAAAAAAAAAAAATATATATATATATATATATATACATATATAAAAAAGAAAATCCATCAACGTAAAAATACCAAAGGAAACAATCTTAATGGTAAAAGTGCAGCAGCGGCGGCCAAGTTGGGCCTCAGTCTCAGCCTGTCTCGGCCAGCTCAGACCCAGCTTCAGTTAGCGAGCCGACGAGCAGTATTTAATGTGAATAATTAGCGGGCGCGTACCATATAAGAAGACGATGGCGATGGCGATGCAATGCGATGGCATGGCATGGCATGGACGAAACAACAGCAACAACAACTCAAGCAGCACCTGCGTGTCGGTGCGTACGAAAGTTTTGCCTCTGGGAAAGGCAATGCAGACACACACACACACACACACACGCAAACATATTTGCACATTTACCAACGCAGCTAACGGCATAAAACGAAAACAACATTATGCAGCAGACGCTCTCTCTTCAATGAGCGACGTATGTTTCTGTTTCTGTGCATCTGTGTGTGTGTGTTTGTGTGTGTGTGTGTGTGTTTGTGTGTGTGTATGTTTGACTGCATTTTGTGGCGTTGGCGAGACACTGTCGTTGGGATTAACATCTCAACGCGTAAACAATTTGTAAATAAAAAGCTCTATCAAATGCGACACACACACACACACAAACTAATAGATGTATTTGTGTCTGTCTGTCTGTATGTATGTATATGCATGCACTTATGGCGCACTCAAGCACTGGCCAAGTCAGCAGGCAGGTAACGTTAATAACCATTTGACCAATTTGGCAGACAGCAGCCAACAGAAGTCACTGAACTTGAATGAAAATCAATTCAATTTTGGCATTTGTTTTAAGTTTGTTTGTTTTTCTGCACATTGTGTGCAAAAATGTTGCTGTCACTTTACTAAAAAAGAAATTGACAGGCAATCGCAGATGTTGGTGGCAGTCGTTTGTGTGTTTGTCGAACTTTTCGTGTCGACTGGGCGTATGCGTAATATGTATTCACAATAAATGGCTGGCTATAAGGCGGCGCCCTCAAAGCCAATTGTGCTCAGGTATTGCGCATGGCGCTAGAATGGCAAGCATTTCAGGTGATTAAATTGTAGTTAATTGCTAAATTAATCGCTCGCGGTCGCCACTAAGTTGGTCAACAGCCACAAATTTTACTATTGAGATCGTGGCATATGCAACGAAAAAGTTATACATACATGCATATACGATTGCAATGCAGCTACACTAAAAAAAAAAAATACTACAGGATACACAAATAGGAACATAACTCATATAAATAATGCTGTACATGAAAATTGTATCAAGATCACAAAACCTTTATGAATTTTGCAGAACAATTGAGACAACAAAAATGTTTTTAATGAATTTGGGAATATCGTAAAAAGGCATTATTTAGTGTTTAATAACTTTGGAATGCAATGGCAAATGCAAAATTGGTAAGCAAAACACTTTGGCCTGAAACTAATAACCTGTTAGACTAATAAAGCTTGAAGATGTGAACAATTTCATTTGCTTCTTATGTACAAATATTTCTCCACTACTAATAATATTGTCGAATTTGAAAATTTGTTGAAATTAATAATAAGTTTTTTTATATAATTTCTATTGAACTTAAAAGTTAACTTGCATCGGACTTTTTATACTAAATTTTGAAGTCAAATTCAAATAATATCGATGCGCAAAAATTATAAAGCGGTTGTTATGAAAAGAAGTGCAAAGTTTTCATTTACTTCAAAAATGTGTAGATTCCGATCAAATCAATTCAATTAATTTTGATATACCTACTAATTTTATATCGTCCTTTTGACTTGATTGGAACATAACAGGAATGTTAATTAAATAATAAAATTGGTAAGCAAACTTGTTCTCGAATTTTGCAGATGTATTGAAATTTGAAAAACGATTGGTAAAACCGATCCAAAAAGTTGTTCTTAATTTAATTAACTAGTTAAATTATGATTTATGACTGTCTTGTTAGTTATGTTATTTTTCATTCGTTTAAACGAATAAAGATTGCTAAAAAGGATATGATAGTAGGTATCATTATACAATTTTTTGGTATTATTGTAATCAGCAGTTGAAGGATGGACGAGGAACGGTCAATTGGCTAATTGTGGTTAGAACGTATTAGGCTCGAAATTAGTGTGCTTCTATTGTGCTCTTACTCTCGCAGAAAACAGGAATTTCTCAATACAAATTTAATAAGGGCAGCAGAAGGTTGATTATACTTGTAATCGACATTATCTTTTATTTATTTTTACATATATTGCTTTTCTCTAGACAAGAGCATATTATTGTTAGTTTCTTGTGTTTTTAGCCATTATAATTATTGTTTTTTTTTAAATAAATCATTTAGGCTTTAAATAGTTCGTATTATTATTATTTGTATTTTGGTTTCAAAATGCATTTCACTCCTCGAAATAGTAGTATTTAATTCAATATCTGAATTGGATCAATTAAATATTTTCAAATGTGCATCCCTAGTTAGGTGAGCAATTGTGTTGTACTATATATGCAATATTTGTGGACTGCTAATGCCTTTGCAATATCAGCCATAAAACACACACAATCAGAAACACATATATACGAGTATATATATGTGTGTGTGTGTCTATACGGACGGACGGACAGTGTGTATGTGGCGCGCATTTGCTTGAAATTACCAAGTAAGTCATTAAAACTAAGTGTCATAAATAAATAAATGCATAAATTATTCTTTTGAAAAATGTTCAGTCACAATCACAGCGCCTGCTCGCCAGCAGCCAGCAGCTAGCAGCCAGCAGCCGTCAGCCGAGAGCCGCCGAACTGAGCCGCAACTGCGCCCGAACCTGCTGCTGACTGAGGCAACGAGCGAACCGCTGGCCACTGGTGACGAGCGGCAGAAAGGGATGGACATACACGTACACGCACATACACATACACACACACACACAAGCGCATGGCCTGTGTCTGTCTATATGTGCGATGTATGGCGCTGGCTGAATAATTTGCGTTTTACTTGCAATTGAAAATAAATCAGAAATTAATTCTTACACACACACACACACACACATACATACACACAAACTAGCAGTGGAGAGCTGCTGTTGTTGTTGTTGTTGTTATTTTTTGTTGTCTCGTTCATAAATTGTCGCGCTTTTTTGTGCTTTTTTGTTGTTGTTTTAATTGAGGCGGCGCTCTGTCGCAAAACAAAATGGACGTGGGGAAAATACAGGCACACACACACATACTACTTACATACTGGTATGTATGTATGTATGTGCGTTCATATATTTACACTCGCATATGCAGATAGGCAGAGGAGGATAACTAAAGAGGTAGAGAACTTACCTTGGCCGAACTCTCGAGCGGATTCCAATAAACGGCAATGGCATTATGCGACACTTCCTCAATGCAACCAACAAGGCCAACCGAGTTCTTTGTATCTGTCAAGAAAAATGAATAAAAGAAAACGCACAGTGAGAAATGTAGCAAGCAATCTGGCAGTGCAATAAAATGCAATAGGCAGCTGCAACAACACCAGCAACAACAATAACAACAGAACAGCAACAGCAGCGACATAAAAATATGTTTGTATTAACAATTAAGGAAATTTCTGTGTCTCGACTGTTGCGGCTGCTGGTGACAAGTGCCTAATGAGTTATGTTTGATGGGCAGAACGCAGCAGCAACCAAAGATGCAGCAGCAACCAATGTTGCAACAACAGCAGAAGCTGCAACAGCATCTGCAACAGCCGTTGCCGTCAGATTATCTGCAATCAAACAAACGGAGCGCAATGCGCGTTTATCAATGTCATAACTTGCGCTCTGTGGCCGCCGTGCGTTTTTCAATAAAAACCAGCAATTTACTGCTAGAAATACTAGACAATATGCTCAGCAATGGTCGCTGCTTGACTTCTTTACTGTCGCTGTTCTGTTGCTGTTGCTGCTGTTGTTGCTGCTGTTGTTGTTGTTTCTGTTTCTGTTTCTGTTTGTATGTGTAGCTAGCTCTTTTTGGTACGCACCTGCATCCAAGATTCTTTGCTTCACGGAATGCTGGCGACTGTGCCAGAATTGCCAGGCCTTTATCTCATCTTCGGGACTCTTCTCCTCACGAAACATTAACATGATCACACTCTGCAAGAAAACGTAAAAATATACAGCAAGGAATAAGCCAAAAGTCGTCATATTAAATGTCAATTTATGAGTTATGAAAAGGCGTACGAGTATGTTTATAATGAGTATTTGTTTAGAGATTTACTTAAAATAATGAATTATCATGTTTAATTATTGAAAAAAGCTGGCAGTATCTTTAAACATAATGCACATGCTATGCTTTCATTGTAATTGTAATATTTTATGTGATTTTTTGTTATATTTGCAAGACATTATGTTTCAATAGCGATTCTATAATGCTGATATTATTTGTAGAGTAAATAATTTCCTCCTTTTTGAAGTCGGCTAAAAACGAAAAGTTGTTTTCCCTAAATATACTAGATATGTAGCACTTATTGAAGCATGAACTAAAACACTCAAACAACAGTGTTCTGCTGAGCTTAAATGGCATGAATTCCAGTATAGTTAGCTGATTAGAGGATCGCTAATAATATTTAGTCTAGCCTTAGTAAAAGAAATATATATGATAATTAGTTGAAGTTTTATGAGGTCTCTTTAATAATCATGTTATACATAATTATTTTAATAGTACATATAAGACTGCTCTAATAGGGATATGGACTAAAAAGCGCCGCCAAAGTGCTAGTTAGTTAGAAAATATAATAAAATCTCGTTACCAAAATGGAACATGCTTTGGGTATGTTTTCAAAACAGACAATAAATGGTAAATGCATAATCATGGCTATTCTCTGGAAAAATTTGATGACTGATCAGTAGGAGATATAAACAATTTTAGTACTTCGCGTGACATAAAACTAGCAATAAAAGCGATCATACTCGATTGAAAGTGTTTTAACTAGCGGAGTTGATTTAAGGAATTCAATAGAATATGCTGATATCTTTTCAATGCTCTTTCGGCATATCATAGAACTGTTGAATTTAATGAGTTGTAGATAGTCGTAGCTATGATTTCAGAGATAATGTTGTTCACATTTTGTTTCCTGAGTATGACTCGGTTCAAAACACGACGCTACCATCTTCGCAAAAAAAAACAGCAGGCCGATTTGCAACATAATATAATATAAAAAAATAGTACACTCTATTATTTTCTGATTAACATACGAGTACAAATAGCTTCAATAGAAATAAATCAGAAGTACTGAACGTTACAACTCCTCTATTTTTTCTTTCTAGATTTAGAATGGGACGAATTTCAGAAAAACTTTGATTGTCTTAACGTCTAGGACTGTGTCATTAAAAAAATTGGAAACCAACCCTCTTTGCCCATCCTGCTCATCCTCAGCTCGGCTGACATATATGAGTTGTGACACTTTTGCTATCTAACGCTTCCAACGCCCCACGTAAAAAGTCAAAAAGATTATGCGCTCGAACAAAGGACGAATTAGATTTAGCAGAAAAATGTCTGGCACATTTGGTTTTTCGTTCCCAACATTTGCATTTTTTGTCTATCATTCACGAACTACATGCCAGTAGGTATGTGTCGGGCGCATTGCTTTGAATAATTATTATCTACGTTTCCGAAGGAAGCGCACAGATACGAATAGTCTGCCTCGACTCTGTACTACTAACAAATTGGAACAACCCTTTCTTTTGGCAAGAGGGTATCATCATTTGAGAAGTTTTTAGGAAACGGTTACCAAAAATTATTACAACATAAATATTTTGTATGTTTTGTGTGCCTTTTCGTCTTTAGTTTTATGGTAAAAGTTCTTTAAATATTCATGGGCTAATCAGCTCGTAAATTATGCTCTGCTCGCTTTTTTCTCCGCCGCCTGTTCTTGGCTCTTCGTCTTTTCTGCCGGATCAGTTTTCCCGTTAAACATATGCAAATGTGTCTTGCATTTTCATGGATTCAAACTGAGACTGAGACTGGGACTGAGTCTGGGACTGAGTCTGGGCCTGGGCTGTATGTTTTATGTGCTTGATTGTGAGGCAGAAGGGCGCTTCTAAGGGCTAAACAAATAAACTCGTAAATTAATTTTGACACTTTTTTCTAGCGCCTTGCGAATTATGGCAGTTTTATGGAAATATGAGAGCCTTGCCTCAATTTTTTGAACAAAAAGGACCTCGTCTTGCCACAATTAAAAGTTTTGTGAGCGGGGAGGTGTGGGGCAGTCGCCTGTCTACCTAGGAATGCATATATACTTGTGTTATATGTCTGGCATGGAACTTAGATTTAACGGTCACATGTTAATGTGGTTTGCATAAGCTTTAGTATCTCCTATCATTAGATCTTAGGTGCCGCTCCAATCCAATCCATTTCCTTCTACATTTTTTTGTTTGTTAATTTGTCACATTTTTTCCTCGTTTGTCTTTTTTCAAGTATCTATGCAAATGTTGTAGGCTCTAAAGAAAATACAATTGTGCTACTTTTTCACACGTGATCCTCGGCTGGGTAACATTTCTCGATTGTTGTTTACTTAGCGTGCTTCAGACTTCATCAGACTTCCGCGAACAACTGTAACTTCGATGTCATTCCCCAGCTCAACGGTTCATTTTACAATTTGCATTTCATGACCGGTAGCAAGGAGCAGAGACGTCATTTAAGCTTATCTGATTGATGATGTGTATTGTTGCGCTTGGGTCCTGAACAAACACATGTACGAGTATATGCCGATTGTTGAAAGGCTCACAATTTGCATTGAGTCGCATATTCAAATTCTCATAAAGGCGTCCGTCGCGGCGCGGCGCGTCTCGTCTCGTCGCTCCGCATCTCGTCTACGCGTCTCTCGTGTATCATTTATCATCAGCGCGTCTAGGATATGCATAAGCAAGCAAGCAAGGAAATACCAATGCCGCTAGCAGGATGTGTAATTGAGCAAAGGGTGTCGAGCAATGCGAGCTGCCAAACTTTATTAGTGCTCAGTCTCCGATTCCGCCCGGGGTGGCACCACATATGACAAATAGGGGTATGGGTATAAGAAGGAAAGGGCTTGGCGAAAGGGTTTATTTAGCCTGCTTGGTGCGTCGACAAGACTGTTGGTGGTGTTGATGGCATAAACAAAAACAAATGCCTGCCAATGGTACTGCCAACAACTACAACTACAACTACATATGGGATGATTGACAAAGCACTTAACGCTGCTCTAAAACTAAGTAGCTCCATGAAAATCATACTAGACCGTCAGCCGATAGATGGTTGGCTTCTCATTATTGAAAATATCGCATCCATACGCACCTTAACTGTTGTATTCTTAATTGGCTTATCCGCATCGTGCACATACTCCAGCGTTATGCCGTAGAACTGTCCCTTATTGATGTAGGTGATGCGATCATCCTCGCGTCGCTGCGATGAGCTTATGGGACTTTCCAGGTGATAGCGAAAACCCACATTTGTGAAGCTGCAAAGAGTAGGAAGAGAACGAGACAAAAACAGCAAAATTCAGTTCAGAGAATTAAAAAATTCAAATCTATAAACTAACATATGGGATGAGCTTTAAAAATAATAATAAATAATTTTTGCATTGTGTTCCCGCCGACTTCTGACTATAAAATTTCTGGTTCTTAGCAAGATTTATCTTTAAGTGTAGATAGATGACTATTTGATTTATACACAGCCTAAGAGGTAAGGTCTTAGAAGCTAAAAATTTCACACAATTCACGGCTCTGATGTAAGTGGACTCAAAAAGTCCTTTTTGGTAATTTGATTTCCCCATAAGTGGGTGAAAATTACCTTAAACTTGCTGTATATATACTTTAAATAAACATTTTCAAGCTAAAAATTTCACACAATTCACAGTTCTGATGTAATTGGACTCAAAAAGTTCTTTTTGGTAATTTGATTTCCCCTTAAGTGGGTGAAAATTACCTTAAACTTGCTGTATGTATACATAGTTTAAATAAAAATGTTCATAATTGAATTACTACGTACTAGCTGGTTTAAAAAATATGGTTCTATCTATCTATTCTAGCGAGAGCAACTACTGGAAATAAGTGCAGATAAGAGTTGCGTAGGATGTTAGAAATGTTCGTATTGACAGCAATAATATTTTTAATTTCCCCCCAAGTTTTGGCAGATCTTCGTGACAAAGTTAATTTATAAATAAGTATTTGGTGGTATGATATAAATAAATAAATTTGATAAAGAAATGCTCGCAGAATAAAACCAAATATTTATTAGATTTGGTTTATTTCAAACATAAATACTATTTCCACTTTTCCCATTTGTAGTTATTTGAAGAATGTCCGTATGAATGCATTTAGTTTAACTTTAGCTTGGCCGGGTATTGGGACATAAATGAACAAAATTATAATTATTGTCTGGCTATTGTAATTTAATTGCAATGTAGTTTGGGGGATTTTTAAAATTGTTTCTAGCTCGCTCGTATAGTTTTGGTTTTCATTTCCATATCCAAAATGAAAAGCAACACTTTATTGTGCCTTAAGGACATTTTTGTGTAGCCAATTATCGCGGCATTCATTATATTTACTATTTGTAGTAGTACTTACATTTTTGGTATTTGTATTTTGTCAGCATCATTTTGGCGGCCAAAATCATGCCAGGGCCTCGAGCGCGTCGAGCCATTTGTGCTCGTGTCGACCAACGAGGTGGTCGGACTGTTTTGACTGCCGTGGACGACGGTGCGTTGGATGTTATTGACGGATACGGGTATGGTGCCGCCATTGGCATCGATAAGCGTGCCCGGCTGACAGAGTTCCGTGTAGTCAAAGGACTGCAAAGTACATTTGGTTTTTGGTGGGTGAAAAGAAAAAGAATAAAGACATGCTTATTAGTGTTTGGGGTTTTCTCATAGGTTCAAAATATTCGATATAGATTTTAAAAAACGTTATGCGGCTATTTAGCTGTTTAATGGACACGCCACGCATTAGTAAACACACTCTACACTAAAATCGATCGATGGTTACTTACAGACTACAAACTGTTACTTATGGTTACTTATAGTATGGTAGGTTTCTAAGAACTCTCTCTCTCTATCTCTCTCTTCCAATAAGTCTTGCATACCTGTTGCATATTGTTTTGATCCCGGGGCGTGATGGCGTCCGTGCCGATGCCGGAGTCTGGACTGGGCAGGTCCACTGTGAGGCCCGCCGCTGTGAGGGTCTTCGTGTAGAGCGGAGTATTGCCATTTTTGCCGTTGGCTTGTGTGGGGGGCGGTGGTCCGGTTGGCTGATGATTGGGCGGCAGTCCAGTCGGGGCTGATGTGAGCACTGTGGGCGTGGTTGTTGTGAAGCGCCCCTCATAGGCACCACTAGACTGTGCTGTGCTCACATCCTCCCCATACATGCTGCGGGTGGTCGGCACATACCCACCCTGTCCATCGGGGGCAAAGTATTCGCGATAATATGGCTCCGTTATGAAGGTGGTCGTTGGTGGTCCGGGTGGTAAGCGTGTGGTTGTATACATGCCATAATTATCGGATGTTATGTACGGACCCGGACTGGGACTTTGTGTTTGCAGGGTCGTCTGTACTGTGCCCGCGCTGCTCGTTGTGGGATGTGAGGTGGTCTGTACATACATATTTGTTGTTGTTGTAGTTGTAGTTGTTGTTGTTGTTGCTTCCAGTAGCCGTCTCTGGCACTCACCTGTAGATAGATTTGTGTGCCCCCCGTTGTTGCATACATCTCTAGATCTGTTGTTGTTGTTGTTGTTGCTGTGCTTGCGGGACTAGTGGGTGAGTTATTAGCACTAATTTCTCTCTCTCTTGCCGTTGTTGTGGTTGTTGTTGTTGGGTCTGTTGTTGTTGCATCCACGTTCAAAATCTGTGAAATTTCGTTTGTTTTTTGGTTTGATGTGGTTTTGTTTTGTTTTTTTTTTATTTTATATTTTTGTGTTTTGTGGATTGTATTTTATTTAATTTTTGTCTGCCTTAAGTTTTAACTTGATTTGTATTTGCGATACGGGTTTATATCTATGTATATGTATGTATATTGTGTTTGGATTTGGATTTGGGCTTTTATGCAATCCCATGGGCATATGTAAATAAGCAAAATTGAGTTATTTGTAAACAAATTTCCAATCAAAATTGGTTCATTAAATATCTTGGCCTGGTCTCGAACCCATCGTCGTCGTCGTCGTCGTCATCGTCTTTGACTGATCGATCATCAGGTAGTAGTTAAAGCAACAGGCGGGCTGATTTAAGGCTACTTTATGGGCTTGTACTACATATTTGTAGAGTCAAGAGGCAAAAGTCAGAGTCAGAGTCAGCCTAGGGCAGCAGCAGCAGTGGCAGCAGCCTTAAGAGAGCAACTGTTGTTGGCCAGTTCGTTGATACTGTCATTGTTGTTAATGGCCGCAAATAGTGATTGATGAGTGATTATAGATTGGGAAGGTCAGCGCGCAGACAACACGCACCCAGTCCCCAACAACGAGGTGACAAAATAATGTCGGCGTTTCGTTGCGTTCTTTAAGACTGACCAACACATGCTTGGTGTATTTTTTTTCCTTTTTTTTATTATTACTTCTTTTTGAATGCTGTTGCTGTCTGATTCATAAACAAACAAACAAAAAAACCCGACGGTGGCTTATTGAAAAAGTCAACAAGTACAGTTTATAAAAAGTTATAAAATGAAACAGTCGAGTGGAAAGAAACAAATTAAAAAGCGTTGCGTTGCGGTGCGGTGTTGAGCGCGAAAAAATAAAAATCATCATTTATATAGTATAAGTATATACTCGTATGTGTATGTATGTATATATATTAGTATATGCATATGTTAATTATCATTGCTTTTTTATTGGCCGCCCAAAATGTCAAACGTTTTTGACTCTTTCGTCGTCGTCGTCGTTGTCGTCGTTGTCGTCGTCGTCCAATTCGTCGTCGTCGACGTCTTCGTCGGCTTCGTCGTCTTCGTTGCAAAATGAGGTAATACTAGCGACCAAGTCTGATCAATATGCCAAGCTCTGTCGTTTTTCATATCTATGGGCGACGGCGTTTTGTCTTATCTTCGGCACACATACTAATTGGCAGCCAGCCATATGCCACGCCCAGGTGCTGGTAGCAAGCGCCTAAAATCAAATTAGCAACTTTACGAACCCAATGTATTTTTGGTCTAAAGAAAGTGAAATCAAAATCATCGCGCTCTGTTCATTTCCGTTGCTCAATACACGAAACAAGACGAGACTGAGGTGAGGTGAGCCTCAGTCTTTATTTGGTGGTCTGAGCCGTCTCTATTGTTTGACAGGCCTATTGATATAATTTAGTTTGCTTTGATTTGGCTTTGGATTGGTATCTCTTTAGAACCGGTATTGAGTTACACAGGGTCAGAACACAAAGAACATTTGTAATCATTTATTTATTTATTTATTTAATTTTGTTAGTCCAGATCGTATTGACACACAAAAAAAGTCGCATATAATGTGTCGATTTTGTTGATATTTCGAATGTGTTGGTGTGTGTGTGTGTTTATAACAGAATTTAAATTTATACAAGTGCCTGTACATTTTCGACTGCTGTATAATTTAGCATCAAATTCTGTCTCAGTCTCAGCTAAATCGCTGAAGATTCTAGCTCCGAGCTAATTAAATTTGTTCATCGAAATCAATTTGCATTTTAAACTTAAACGTGCAACGTCAGAGAAGGCCTTGGGAGCATGCGCAGCCAGCACTCGGAGCATCGACTAAGATTTTGTTTTGTTTTCTTCTAAAATGGCTGTGCGTGCGCGCATTTTTTGTCTGCTTTTAGGAATCTTTAAGTATTTTCGTGTATTGATTAATATAAAAATAAATAATAGAAAAAAACAGCGCGCTTTGCATACGCTTTGTCTTTTTCTTTAGTATATGTTTACATACATGCTTATACACGTATATATGTCTTCTATATAGGCGAGCAGGAAGGCAGGCAGCAATATAGTATACAAGTATGTACCTATGTGGTTTCGATCTACAAGTATAACTAAGCTATGGATTATGATGATCAAGTGGTTGCTAGTTGCTGGTGGCTGGTGGCTGGCAGCTCTGACTGTTGCTGTTTAGAATTATGCTAAACAGCCCAAATGCGATAGCACATATGTATTTATGTATGAGGAAGAAATAAAAATTTAAATAAAGCCAATTAACTATTTTAATGCTTTTGGATGATAAAAAGTGAAACTTTTGTCTATGTTTTTTTGTTTTTGTTTCTTCGTTTGCCTTACTGTTGATTTTTTATGAATATCGTTAATTCTCGGAAATAAAGTGAGGAAAACAAATGAAAAAGCGAAACATTATTGTATTTATAAAATGTACGCATTTGGCATAAAATGCTACTTTTAATTGTCAAGTTCGGAGTGCGTGTAAAAAGTACTTGCCAAAATGTTTAACTACGCTTTAAACTATAATAAGCCTGTGAATTTTGAAGGTAGTACCACGATATTGTTGATTGTGATTGTTTTTTAGAAGTTTGTGAAATGCCAAGGGCTACATAATATGCTTAAGCTGCGGCCAAATAGGCCAAATTTCATTCTATTTAAAAAGATGACCTTGAAAAGTAAAAGAAGGGAATGTCTGCAAGCAGACAACTACGTTTTTCAAAATATATTCTTAGTTCATTTCGTTTTTTTTTAATTAATCTTCTTAAGCGCTTGTGGTATAGCCTTCGAAAATATTATAATTATTAATTTCTCATCTTGAATTATTGTATGCTAAATGTAATATTCTTTGAATTTAACATTTTCTTTATACATTTTTTTTTATGGTTTATTTTTATATTAATACTTAAAACTTTGAACTGAATTTGATTTCCAATCTCATTATTTCTTTTTAAAGAGTAATTGCTTCGAAAATTTGTCAAATTATTATGCAAATAAAATTATATATTATTCTGACAATATATTTAATATTATTTTTTTCTCAAGTCTAAACTATTGACTGAAAATATAGTTTGATTTTTCTCTATTTCATCATTTTTGTATTTTAGTATTCACTAAAATTCCAACAATTGCAATAAAATGCAAATCTTATGGATTTTATATTTTATAGTTTGCTGTATTTTCAATGCGCAATAACTATTTTTGCACATCCAACTATAAAATCATGTGATGAGTCACATTTTGTGGTCCGAACCATTCATGTAGAGATACCAGAAAACCCAATCGATTTGTGCTAATTTGTTTTCATTTTTTGCGTAGGCTATAGCCAATAATAATACACACATACATACAAAAAAAAATGTGGCATAAAATAATTGAGAATTGCAAAGTTGAGTCCAGTATCTATCTATCTAATTGAGTTTAGTTATGATTACTCTTTCCGGTCAGTCTCTGGCAAGTGTGTAACAAATTCGAATAACAATTTTTTAACATAAATTAACAATCACACGCCCCGCCATTTGATTTTGTTGATTACCACAATAACGACAACAACAACTAAACCTTAGACTTTACACTACTCCCTGGCTGCCCGGCTGCTTTTCTGCCCGTTGGTCTGTCTGTCTGTCTGGCTTTAAATATTTATGTGTGTGTATGCAAATTAATAAGACAAATATTAAGAATAATTAACTGTCAATGTAAAAAATGTACAATAAATTAGCGCACATGCAAATTGTGCACCGACTTTGTTGAGAACGCATTTCATATTGGTTTTATACACATAAATTTATATATAGTACATTCAGTATGTACGAGTATGTGTGTATAAGTATTATTCATATACATTATCAATATGTATTTTACTGCATAATTGTTTGTCGTTAAACAATTAGTTGTTACCGATTTTAGCTCAATGGACCAATGCCTCAAGCTCAAGCTCTCATACACATAATCCATAGGCAAGCCCACTCACAGCTGGCGTAATCAGACGGATCGAAATGCGATAAAAATAACTAACTACATACATACACACTACAAGCTGCAAACTACACGAGGAGCAACAACATTTAACAGCAAATGGCAACAAAATAGCAAAACAATCAACGCGACATTATTGTTGTTATTCTTAACTCTTGTCTGTTCAATTTCAAGAAAAGAAAAAGAGAAACAGAAAAGAAAAAAAACAAAAGACTTGGAGCACAAACTTGTTTGTTGTGTGGGTGTTGAAAGGCAACGGCAACGGCAACGCGTTGCGACTGCGACTGCGGTCACAACTGCCACTGCACGCCCACACAGGTGTTATTGTTGTTGCTCCTGTGTTGTTGTTGCTGTTGTTGCTGTTGTTTTATGTACTTCGCGCGTGTGCGTTTGGCGTTCGATTCATGTGTGTGTGTGTTTGTGTGTGGTGTTTCTTTCATTGATTTTTGCGATTGCGCTTGCGTATTGGCTTCGCTTGATTATAAATCGGTCCGCGCGTTTTGATTGCAGGTGTTTTGTTGTTAATATACCCTATATCTGCAGGGTATTAGGATATTATGAAATCGTTCAGATATTGTTACAACTTGAAGAAGGTGGAGCAGACCCCTCGAAGCATTTATATTCTTAGTCAGTATGACCAGAGGATTCGATTCTTCGCCTGTCTGTCAGCATGCACCGCAGCATCTCCAAACATCTCCTCTTAGTCCTTAAAAGGACTCTCAAACAAAAATATATATACGCGCTTGGAATGTACATACATATGTATGAGTTATGTAGCATTTAATTATTTTTAAATTATATTTTTATAGTAGTGACAATAGTAATTGTTTAATTAAAAGAGTTCTTCTGGACTAGACGCAGGGTATATAGGAGTCGGACGAGCGCGCGACTTTAGCATTCGACTTGTTATTGTTGTTCTTGCTTTTGTGATTTGATTTTTGTTCATTATGATTTGTTGTTACATACTACATATATACATGTTTTTATGATAGAATTTCATTAGCCAGCACTTGCAACAACGCTGGCGATGGCGATGGCGACGGCGACGGCCACATTCCAATCAAGCGGCACTATATATCATATAACATATGCAAATAGCGACATATCGAATTCGGGCAGACAATGCACACACACGCACACACACTGCACACGCACACTCAATGCTCCACCATGGGCCATAGACTGTTAACTGTGCCAGTATTTTTTTTAAATTTTTTTTTCTTTTTTTGGTTTGCCTCTTAGATTCTCGTGTCACACGCACGCACTTACACACACACTTACATTGAAGCTTTTTTCTTTTGAGATTCAAGCGGGGGATGCACTTCAATTGTTACGCGACATTCGTAAGTCACTTGATCTGATCGGTTTTGGCAGAATATGTTTGAATATAACGACGAATCAAACGAATCGAAACGAATCGAAACGATCCTACTCCGACAACGTGATACAACTGACTGAGGCCAGGTATGACAACGAGCGCCTCGCTACTGACAACGACAACTCACACACATGCACAAACACACACATATACATACATACATACATACATATAAGACATTCAGTTGCGTTGTATCGGACAGTTGGACACACACACACACACACACAGAAACACACTTACTCGCATATCAGTTCAAAATGGTTGGAATCTGTTGCTGTCGCAATATTCTGACATATGGACGGACGGGACGGAAGGGACGGACGAACGCGGCCGGACAGGGCGTTGCGAATCGGCATTAAAAAATAGTTTCATATGTATGTGTATTTGCAGTGCGCCTCACTCATTCATTGAGTTTGTTGTTATCGTCGAAGGAAGAACGACCGGAAGTGCGCACTTAAAGTTTGTCGCAAAGGCGCTCGAATTTTGTCATGTTGCTGCTTTTTGCGAGCAAATAGCTAATATTGGCAATTTCTGATTGTTGTGGCAATGTAGAGTTGTTAATCATTAGTTGTTGTTTTTATAATTATAATTCATAAAGCGCCTGGCAACCAAACATTCCAACATCGAACTTACAGCGCGCATGTTCGAACAACTTGGTGCAAGCGAACCAGACTTATATGGCCCAATTGGTGTGAGTGCGAGCGAGCTAAATATACAAATCACGCACACACACACACACACACACAAGCGCGCGCGTACATTTGTGGATGATCGTGCATAGCGCGTATAACATAAGGCAAGAGTGTATAACAGTTTGAATGCAGGCTGCGCCGTCGTCAGAGTGGTTGCTAATGTGTACGTAGCAGTAGTTGTTGTTGTTGTTGTTGTTATTGTCTCATTGCTTTTGCGTCAATAGAACACCGCACACTGATTCGTATTGGCTGCAGCACTAACACTCATTGCTCACTCACACATTCAGTTGACAGACCAATTGCAAGTCTTAGAGCAGACGCTGACGTCGCTGCCGTCGATTTTGTTGCTATGGCTGCGCACCACGCTACGTATACGTCATATGTACATACATACATATGTATATTTATATAGACAATCGGGCCGAGCCAAGTGTTGTAGTTGTTGTTATTGTCGGCACGAAATGATAAAGGAGCATGAAGCATGTGTTAATTGAGCATCAATGGGAATATGTTTGTCTGTACATACATACGTTTGTATGTGCTGCAGGATGTGTCGTAGGATATATGAGAAGGGGTGGTTGTGGTGGTGAGCTACACACATACATACATACATAAAATAGCCTGCTTGTATTCCTAACTATATAAGCTCTTCTATCTATTTATATAGAATTTAGCGTGTGTGTCCATTAAAGCGTTTCTGCTACTGAGAAGAAAAAAAATACAGTACAGGTTCGTTATGGCAAAGCAATCTGAATTCAAATATAATATGAAATAGGCAGACCTATTCCCATATTTGGCGGAAACGATTTGGAGAAATTTCTCAAACTTTCATATTATAAACAAAATTTATTGCATTCAATTGCAGTAATTCGATTAATTGCTGCATTTTGTAAACATCCAAGATTAAGCAAAATTGGAACAGGCCCTAAATATGAATATGAAGTAGTAAATTGAAAGGATGCAGCTATATTAATTGCATTCACTATAACGAATGTGCACTGTATTTAAAAGAAAGAGGTCTTACATGCTGCTTAGAGCTTTTTGAACCTACCTTTTGCGTTATGACTGAACCATTCGCTGCCGTGATGCTGCCATTTTTCGGATCCTTGCGCAAGTCTTCGGGCTCTCGTTTGATGCTAATTAGCTGTTGTTGTTGTTGTTGTTGTTGCTGCTGCTGCTGTTGCACTGCAGCCGAGACAATCGAGCCCGCATTGCCCACGCCCGCGGTCGTCACTATGGCTGTCGGATGCTGTTGCTGTTGTTGTTGCTGTTGCTGCTGGTGTTGCTGATTCGAGATTGTTGTCGTGGAGACAACCGGCGTACTGGCCCCAGCCGATGATGATGGGTGTGAACCAAGTAGAAAGCCTTGAATTTCATTTTGCGATAGGCCAGAGACATCGATAGGTGTGGTCTGTCCATTCAGTTTGCTGGCGTTGCTAGCGTTGCTGCAAATGCGAAAATACAAGAAGAAGAAGAAGAAAAAGAAGAAGAAGAGGGAGAGAAGACAAAGAGCGCACAGCATTGAGGTGCGCGTTAGTAAACGCTGCTAATTGCTAATAACAAGCTGCCAATCATTTGACACCATTTGGCACCCACAAATGTTTAAATTAGCGCTAAACGCGGCTTATCAATAAAATCATGCAAAATACGAGTATGTGTGTGGAAATGCACAAATACAGTAAGGAATATAAATATATACAGATAGATGCAATTGCAAAACTTAATCCGTTCGTTGCGGTTTATTTGTATCGTTTTGTTTTTAATTTTTTCCGTTTTATTTCTATTTTTTTGTTGCAATCATGCATGCTGCCTGCTGATAATCAGCGACTGCAGTGACTGAGTGGGAGAAAGGGGTAAGGAGGCTGGAGTAGAGGCACTATTTTTGCGCAAGGCGTCTTAGGTGCAACCAAATTGTTACGGGCGGCAACCAACACCTGTACACCTGTAACGATGTCGTCGGCGACGACGATGATGATGATGATGACGACGAGTTCACAATCCAGTTGCCAACTGGCAAGACAAGTCACAGACACACACACACACATACAGAGAGACATAAACACACATTCGAACACAGCCTTTGCAGCTGCTCATGCACACGCCCAAATAGGAGCAATCCAGCCATGATCATAACAACAACAGCAACGAATTCAGCGACAATAAGAGCAAACCAGATTCCCTCCTCTGTTCCCAGCATCAAGTGCAAAAACCAGCTATAAAAACAACGTTGCCGATGCGGCTTTGGTCCTCGACTTCGACTTCGACTCCGACTCCGACTCCGACTCTAAACAGTTGGCAACAAATTTTCACAATAAAAACAAATCCCATTGAATTGAATCGACAGAAACGTATCAACGAACGGTACACTCCGCACTCGAAGTCGCGGCGTCCACTTTTTTGTTGCACGTTTGTATTTCTTCTTTTTTCATCGCTTGCTTGTTTTTTTTTTCTTTTTTGGTTTGCTCTTATCACATTAAACTTATTTTGGTTATAAATTATCTGTGGCATGTTAAGATCTTGTGTGTGCGATAAATAAAATCGTGATATCTTTGGCATTTTTATAATACACTGCCTGAAACTGGAGGTTGCCTCAAGGTCAGTGCACAGGATTTTGTACGGTACTTCCCACTATCTAACGGAATTTTTTTACAGCCGCGACCCACTCTGAAGTTAGCGGAGACAATGCTTTGTGCTCCCATTACAAAATACTGTAACAATTTATAGTAGGGAGCATTAGTTTCTTGATTAATTCTTTTCAAAGAATAATTACAGATTTTTGTTACAAAAAACTCCACTTTATAACATAATTTAAGTGATAGAATAAACATTTAAGGTTTTAAAATACATAGACCTATACATCGATCTACTTATTATAATATAAGATTTTTAATTTCTCGATAAAATGTGAAGACTGACTAAAGAAGAGATGGTTTTTTGATTTTTTAAAAAGATTAATCAAAATTTGTAAAACTATATTTGAACACTTTTCTGCTCAACTATCTGCAAACTTTTCATATGAACTATTACTACCATAGGACCAGATTTTATAACTTTGCCATTAAGCTCATACTTTTGCAATCTTGTGTAAACTGTGATGTTAATAGAAACCTAATGTGCCAGACAAATTAAGAACTGCACAAGACCAGCGCCCGTTTTCACCCGAATTTAGTGCTACCTTTTGTTAGTTGTTCCGTTTCTCATTTCGAGACAATTTTTATTTGAATTTAACTTTTTCTGTCGTTTTGTTTTGACAGTCAACCTTTCCTTTTTATGTTCTGTAGAACATTTTTTGCTATTAAAATGACACTACATTAAGATTTTTCGTAATATCTTTTTTCTCCGGCTGTCCAAATGCTTTTTAGGGTCAGAACGCGTAAAGCACGTACACACACACACGCACACACACACAAGCACACTCATAACAAATTTTGAAAAAAGAGACATTTATTAGATAGTTTTACGCTAACGCTCATTTTATTTGTGTTTCTAAGCCAACTGTCGCATCGGCGACCTTTTCCATGCCCCTTGCGGACGCTATCATTGTTGTTCTTGTTGCTGTTACACGGTCACGGTGTCGTCAGCCGGAGCTTGCTATAAAAACACCGACAACAGCAACTACAACAACAGCAACAACAACAACAAGAACAACAATAAGCAGAGCACGAACAGTAAGCCAACATTTCATAACTCAATTTTCAGAAACGACGTTTGACAGCCGCTTTGCCGTCTTGCCGTCTTGTCGCCTTTCGGCCCCGCCCGACTTGCGACGTGCCACTGATGAACAGTTCCACGAAGCTCTGACCAAACGGATAACAACAACAATAACAAGCGAACGTTTGAGTTGTCGCTAATTTTTGCAAAGTTCAGATAGACAAGCTGAGCTGCCCGAATCAAAATTATGGTTCAAAAATCATTCTTTTTCATTTTCAAGTCGAAATTGAAAAACGTTCGAACTACGAACGAAATTTGCATAAATAAGGATATTTCTCCCATTCATATTATCCTTTTTAAACCTGAACTGACCTAGAACTGGCAAAGACACGCAAAGCAGTACCCCAGATTTTGGCAAACTATATATAGCAAGACATAATAGCACAAACACAATTATGTTATTATTGCTAAAAATGTTTATAAGTTGCTTTTTATTTAAGAGTTTAAAAGCTGGCATGGGGAGCGAGGTCGAAAAGTTAACCCCTTAAGTATGCTAAGCGAATTGTATTAATAGATAATACATAATTGTTATTTGGGCAAATCATTTTTAACAAGCTTAAGCTGCCATATTGGTAGCTGAATACTAGTTTAATAAATTGTAAATAATTTTTTATATAAAAAAAAATGTGGACAAATCAAACTGTTAGGTGATGGAAATGGAACCACGGACTCTTTTACTGTTTCCAATCTAATCTTCTGGCTATTACTATATATATGGTGTAGTTCATTATGGTGCTATATATAACATTAGTAAAAGATTAATCTGTGTTAATGGGCAATATTTTTTGCTACTCAATAAAATACATTTTTGGTGTCTTTGTGCTTAGAAGTGTTGATTGATTGTAGAATATGTATGCTATGATGGACTGGTTTAAGATTTCAATTTATTTTAATTACATATTTCATGTAAAGAAAAAAATATTGTTTTTTTTTAACTTTTCTACCCTCAAATGTGTTTCCACTTAATAGAGAAATAAACTCAATAAGCATTCTAATAACAAATATAATGAAAACATATATCCAAGAAATCATTAAAGTACTTAAAGACCAAAGCTGAGATTTATTTTTGTAAATTTTTTTCTTTTTTTTTAAATTGAAGTATTTTTTTACTATTCATAAATTATTTTTAATTTCGAAGTATTTATTTAGTTTCTTTTCTTTCTTTTTATTTTATTTTATTTTAAAGGAGATGATCCTTTAATACTATGTTTTGTAAGTCAAAGTTCCACCAATTTGATATTTGCTAATTTTGATATTTTTTATTCTGTGCCTCAAAAGGTTTCAATAATAATGTTTTTCCATAAATTGACAGTCAAGTAATAAAATAAAAAAGTCCAGCAGGACTCGTTAAATTTGTGCAATTATTAAACCAACAAAAAAACAAACGGTGTAAAATCTGATAGGCGATCTTTAGAAGAACCGTCTCAATGACGGTGATTTGCCATAACCATTAATTTTCTCCACCACTCCTGAACGGCAGGCGGGGTGGCGGGAAGGATGATTCTAAATGGGCTTTGCATTGACATCGTCGAGCCACAATGGGTGTTGGCCCGAGCTGAGTTGGCTGGACGGCGATGCTGATGCTGATGTTGTTGCTGATGGCTTTGGTTATGGGTATGGGTATGGGGGCTATGAGTATGGTTGGGCCAGCGGTTAACGGCCACTTACCTCCACACAAGCTCCTCTTCGTTGTTGTTCTCCTTCTCAGCATCTTTGTAGTAGCTGTAAATGGCGTATGTGGTGGCATGGGGCGTGTGCTGCAGATCGTGGGGCAGCATTTGCAGCTGCTGTTGCTGCTGCTGGTGGTGCTGGTGCTGGTGCTGGTGGTGGTGGTTATGATGATGATCGTGCTGCTCATGCTGCTCGCTTAGTTGTATCTCGGCGGCCACGGCCTGCATGAGGCCAGCGGCAGTTAGTGGCAAGTGTTGTTGCAACTGTTGCAGGTGTGACGTGGGCTGATGTGGCTGCTCCTGCTGCTGCTGCTGCTCATCCTTGTGCTGTTGGTGCTCCTGGTGTTCATAGTAGTGCGGCGGCGGCGGCGGTGGCGGAGAGTGTGGCGCGTATTGTGGTGGTGGGGGCAGTGCCGGTGGTGCTTCGTGTACGTGCAACAAATGCTGTGCCAGCGGTGCCGGCGGTGAATCGGACATGGGTGGCTCGCCCAGATTGTAGCTGGCGCCGCGTCTAAGGATTGCACGTTCGTTTATAATTATGTATCGATGCGGGGGGAACGGGCGGCACAAGCCCATGCCATGCCCATGTGTGTGTCCAGTTGTGTGTGTGTGTGTTTAAATCTGTGTATGTGTGTGTGTGTGTGTGTGCATTTTTGGCAGTCGAGCTGTGGCTATTAGCATTTATTTACATAACAAATTTATGGCCAAACTTAGACAGACAGCGAGCCCAAGACAGAGCCCGACTCCAAGCCCGAGCCTGAATGCGTGTGTGGTTACGGATTTGTAACTTTTGCGGCAGCTTTTTTATATTATTATTATTATTATTAGTGTTGTTGCTGTTGCTGTTGCTGGTATTGGGTCTTTGTTTTTGGTATCGAACGCGGCTTCATTGTGAGGCCAGCCAAAAATTTATTCGTTTAGCGCTATTAGCGTCATTAAGCGACTGTTGTACACAATCGAATCGCCAGAAAAAAACAGATTTGAACATTTTTAACACATTCGAGTAGTGCGGGCCCGATCTCGGCCTCAAGCCCGGTGCACTGCAA